GAACCAAATTAGGCAACTCTTAGGGCCAACAAGGACTTATGTTCTGGCCATTGAATGACTGTTGGTACAGATTCCTGTCCCAGGCACCCAACTTGTCCATATTCTTGGCCAACCTCGGATCGTGAACTGTTGCCTGGTCTATGCTGAATGTCATCAGACTCCACAAGCTCTTGACACTGTTTCTGCTGTGTCCTGGTCAGACCCAGAGTGGGAGCCTAGATGACTGTAGGAGGGGACTGTGACCCAGGTGAGGCCTCCCAGCCTTGTTGAGGGTTACAGGATCAATACCGACATAGGGAGGGATGCTCTCTGGTATTCAAAGAGGTGACTAGATCTAATTTTCCTCTCACCCCAGTCATTCTGCAAGACTCTGTCTGAGACTTGTGAGTCAATGTGTTGGCCCATTCCTAGTGAAAAAGTTTGTAACCTGTCATGCTTATTCACCTGTTTCAATTCACACACATCCACCAGCATTTCTACCATGCCCAGGACCATCCTGCCTGCTGGAGCCTGTCCTGTACTCTTTGTCCTCATGAAGTACCTCAGAGACCAAGAATAAAGTATAAAAAGCCTTCCTCCTCCCCCTGCTCCCTCACCGGCACAATCTGATGGGAGTTCCACACCAGAGGATATGGTAGAACTCAGGACCTATGTCCTCTGCATCATATTTCCATGATAAGCTATTTTTGTGTCATAGCTTTTGCAGCCCACAACATAAAGAGTGCATAGTCATTTCCATTTGCCAAAACCAGGTTGGCAGGGACGGGGTATAGAGGGTATGTTATGACATAAGAGGTATGTTATGACAAACAGAGGGTATCTTTCTGACATGAGGGCCTGTCAGAAATCCTGACACAGGAGCCTTCTAGAAATCTCACCTTAGGCTATGAACATGTCCCCCACCCCCCTTCCAAGTGGATCAACAGAGCATGACTGAGCAGACTGACCTGAGCACAGATGGGCAGTGGCCGTGGCCCACTGTCCAGTTTTTCCTAGGACTAAAAAGTCACTTGGCCTAAAATGAAGCCAGGATGCAAAAGCAACAGAAATTCCAGAAGAAAATGTTGAGATGTGTCCCAGCTTGAAAGAAGGCAGGTGCCCTGGTTTCATCATGAAAGAGTAGTTCAGTGGAAAAAGCAAAGACATACTGGGCTTCCTCAGAGTTTGCTTAGCTGCTTGCAACAAGCTCATATTAGGACTCACGTCTCTCTTTGAACCAACCACATTGCTTTTCTTTTATGATTACTGAGTTAATTACTCAGGAAATTAGTATTAATGATAATTATTAGTGTTAATAAGCATTTGCGTGGTACATTGTCATTTATGAAGCTCTGACTTGTATCATCTCATTTTCTCACAGTGAATTCCTTGCAGAAACCTAGTATTTATCATCCTCATTTTCCCAGGGAATTCATCCCTTTCATTAATATATTGACAACTTGTCAAGTACCCTCCCAGAACATTTTCAGGAAGGAAACAGTTGAGTCCTCCAGAATTTGGTAACAGCTAGCTTTGTTGTGCTGTTTATTTCATGTTTCTTGATAAACACTGAGAAGGATTTTTTTTTTCTTTTTTTTTTTTATGAGGGAGAGAGAGAGAGATAGAGACTCCCATTAGCTACTTTACTTCCCACAGCTTGCCTGCTTGCCACAGCTGAGACTGGGCTAAACTGAAGCTTGGTAGCTGGGAACTTAATCTAGGTTTCCCACGTGGGTAGCAGGGGCCAACTGCTTGAATCATCTCTGCTGCTTCCCAGGATCTGCATGGGCAGGAAGCTGGAGTCAGGAGCTGAAGTGGGGAATCAAACCCAAGGACACAGGCATCTTAACTGCTAGGCTAAATGCCTGCTTCTGAGAAGAATTTATTTTTTCAAATCTAGAAAACTGTAGCATAAAAAGACACAAAGAGAAGCTCTAAGCAGGGGGAGACTACATGTACATAATTTACATGTATCAGAGGAAAAGGTATAGCTTGTTGCCTCTCAAACCAGGATCTGGTTAAAATAACAGGTTCTGATTCAGTAGGTCTTAGGTAAGGCCTAGTTCCTGCATTTCTAGCAAGTTGCTGAGGAAGATACTCTGATTCTGCAGACACGCCTGGAGAGGTCAGCCTAGACGGAGGTTTCCTGATGATTAGTCATGAAAAGGGGGCAGATTAAGGGGTTCTGTTACTAGCAGGGACTGTGTTGGAGTGAGAGACAGAGAGCACCTCCCTATCCTGCCAGTGTCTCTGTTCTTCGCAGGGTGAGCCCAGGAGGCCTTTACACCCACAGGCAGACATTAGCATTAGTGGTGTGTGCCTTGCTAAAGAATTGGAGATTGTGCTATTGAATTTCTGTTTTTTTTTTTTCATTTGACATGTAGAGTTAGACAGTGAGAGAGAGAGACAGAGAGGAAGGCCTTCCTTCCATTGGTTCACTCCCCAAATGGCCGTTACCACTGGCATGCTGCGCTGATCCGAAGCCAGGAGCCAAGTGCTTCTTCCTGGTCTCCCATGTGGGTGTAGGGCCCAAGCACTTGGGCCATCCTCCACTGCCTTCCTGGGCTACAACAAAGAGCTGGACTGGAAGAGGAGCAACTGGGACTAGAACCCGGCATCCATATGGGATGCTGGCACTGCAGGCAGAGGATTAACCAAGTGAGCCACGGTGCCAGCCCCAAAATAAATTTATCTTTTAAAAATTATTTCAAAGGCAGAGAGAGAAACAGAGAACTACCCTCCTCTGGGTCACTCCCCAGAAGCCTGCCAGGAACTGGCAGCTCAATCCAGATCCCCCAAATGAGTAGCAGGGATCTGACTACTTGAGCTATTGCTATCTCCTCCCAGGGTCTGCACTGGCAGGAGGCTGGAATCAGGAACCAGAGCCAGGAATCGAACCCATACACTCCAATTTAGGACATAGGAGTCTGACTGTGAGGCCAAATGCCTGCCCCAAACTTACTTTTTTTTTTTTTTTTTTTTTTTTGACAGGCAGAGTTAGTGAGAGAGAGAGAGAGAAAGGGTCTTCCCTCCGTTGGTTCAGCCCCCCAATGGCCACTACAGCCAGCGCACTGCGCCGATCTGAAGCCAGGAGCCAGGTGCTTCCTCCTAGTCTCCCGTGCGGGTGCAGGGCCCAAGCACTTTGGCCATCCTCCACTGCCTTCCTGGACCACAGCAGAGAGCTGGACTGGAAGAGGAGCATCCGGGACAGAACTGATGCCCCAACCGGGACTAGAACCCAGAGTACTGGTGCTGCAGGCGGAGGATTAGTCTAGTGAATTGCGGCGCCGGCCTACTTTTTTTTTTTTTTTTTTTTTAACATTTTACTTATTTATTTGAGAGAGTTACAGACACAGAAAGGGAGAGACAGAAAAGTCTTCCATCTACTGGTTCACTCTTCAAATTGCCCCTACAGCTAGAGCTGTGCCAATTCAAAGCCAAGGAGCCAAGAGCTTCTTCCTGGTCTCCCACACAGGTGCAGGGGCCCAAGCACTTGGGCCATATTCCACTGCTTTCCCAGGCCATAGCAGAGAGCTGGATCATAAATGGAACAGCCAGGACTCAAACTGGCGCCCATATGGGATGCCAGCACTGCGGGCTGAGGATTAACCTACTGTGCCACAGTGCCGACACCCCCCCCCCCCCACCAAACTTACCTTGTAAATCTGTTTTCCATGGACTTTGTGAAGCACCCTCCTATACTAAAAAGGGAAAAAGGGGGGATGTTTGGATTATGCCACACTGAGACATGAAACCTATTGAGGCTCTTCTCTCTAAAGTGTTTGGCCAAGTACTCACCTATGAGAATTTAAAAAATAAATAAATCTAGAAAATGGTGGATAAAAAGATACCAACAAAGAAAGGCTCTGTCTGGGGAGAGACCGTATATACATGTGTCAGAGGGAAAGATACGGATCCATGTCTTTCAAGCTTTAACCTGGGGTTCTAGTTAAAATGCAGATTCTCTCTACTATGCAAATGCATGGCAAAAGAAGTGTATTTCGAGTAGGCTCCTTCATCACACATCAGAGAGTGTGTCAGCTCTTCCTCATTCTCACAGCAGCCTTTCTGAGTAGTTGGGAAAGGCTTCAGCCCTGTTTCACAGAGGAACAAACCAATGTCCATGGAACTGGTGTCCCTGGCCTTAGGTGCCAGCATGGCCAAGGGTGGAGCCTGGAGTCTCACCTAGATTTTCCTCTTCTAGATGTTGTTTCTGACCCCCTGCCCCACAGAGCAATCCTTTGGAAAACCTGTGTCCTAACGTGTCATTTGCAAGTGTCTCATTGGAACACAGGACTTTCTCTTAAGACAGAGAGAAACAATTGCTGTATTGTCCCAGCGTACCTGCAGAGGACTGTTTCAACTGGGGCGTAGCAGATCTTCAGACCGTAGCCTCAGTGTGAATTTTGAGGCCAAGGACAGTACAAAGTAGGGGAGAGTAGGCAGTAATAGGCTCTTGCGTGGCCCTAGTCAAAATCCCCAGGAAGTCAGTGGTGTCAGTGCCCTGCACCTCCTTGGCATCCTGCTCCCCTGCCTCTGGCCGTCAGGGCTTTCAAGTCTGCTCCAGCTCCTCTTGCATAAGCCCAGGGAGCTTCTCCATGCACAACAGTCCTGCCTGGCTCTGTGCCCTCCGAGAGCAGGAACTACAGTGGAAAACAACTAGATGATGAAAAAGGCACAGGCTAAATTTTGCTTTTGCCCTAGACTTTGACTTTCCTGAACATCCTGGCTGGAAACTTGCTGGCCCTCTCTCTCATGGCCTTCAAGAGGAAGTAAATAAGGTAGCATTTCTAGGTGCACAGAGTCACACAGATCTGTTAGAAGGGCTTCCCTTGGCCCTTGGCCAACCAGAGAGATGACAGGAGGTGCATTTTCACTGACCAGAACTTCCCCAGGGCATCCCAGAGGGGCCTCTCTGTTGGTCTGGATTATTTCTCTGTGTGCTTGGTCTTCAGTAGCCATTCAGGTTTTGGGAGTCTGGTTGATGAACAGTGCTGTTTAATCCAGGTGCTTCTTTGCAGGTATCTACGCCTTGAGTCCAGCAGCTGTGGCCAGGAGGGGGCTCGCAGGTACCGTCAGAAGTAGTTGCTGCTTTAATGTTTAGTCAGATGGCCTTGGCAGTTCCTGCAAGCTGCACCTCCTCCCGAGTCATCTGAACTAGAGAGACCCCCTCCACAGCGTGACCCCACCTCACCCTCTCTCCTTCGAGCCCCCAAGTCTTCATGTTGAATGTTGTGTTTGCCTTGTTCCTGACTGCAGCGTCAGTTTGGGACCCAGCCCAGTGAGTGGCATGGGAGAAAGATGCCTTCCAAGGTTCAGCCTCATAGGAGGGTGTGGGGCTTTGCCTGACTGCATTGGAACAGGCCCTCTTTACAAAGAGATGCTGAGGGCCTGTGAGGTGGCAAGGAAGCCAGTCTCCTCTCTGTTTCCACTGCTGACTGCTGCCAGGGAGCCTCCAGGCTGCAGGAAGGCCATTTCTCCTTCCAGGTTTAACTGGAGTACTCTGATCCCTCTGTGGCTGCGACATCGCCAGTTAGGACTGCAAGCCAAAGGCCAGAACTTCATGCTGGAGGACTCCACCTTCTGGATCTTTGGAGGCTCCATGCACTATTTCCGGGTGCCCAAGGAATACTGGAGGGATCGTTTGCTCAAGATGAAAGCCTGTGGCCTGAATACCCTCACCACGTGAGTGTGTGCCCTTGCCCCCACCAAGCCTGGTTGCCAAGTTGGGACCCTGACTGTCTGCTGGAGGAATACTCCAAGAAGCTGAGAACTAGCCAAGCCTTCTGCTTAGGCTTGAAGCACGCAGTCTCTCTCTGGTCCCCACACATCGCTCCCAGCTAACGGTTGTAAAAAGATGTAAGTGGAGATAAGGCCCAGAGGAGCCAAAGTAGCAGGGATGCACGAATGAATATGAGGTGGGGCTTGCCTTGTGATGTAGCAGGTTAAGCTGCTGCCTGCAACTCCGGCATCTCCTATCAGAGATCTGGTTTGAGTTCTGGGTGCTCCCACTGCTGATCCAGCTCACTGCTAATGCACTTGATAAAGCAGCAGAAGAAATAACCCAGCTACTTGGGCCCCTATTGCCCACAGGGGAAACTCATATGGAGTTCCTGGTTCTTAACTTCATCCTAGCCCAGCCCTGGCTGTTGCAGTCATTTGGGGAGTGAACCAGTGGGTGAAAGATCTCTCTCTCTCTCTCTCTCTCTCTTTCTGTCACTCTGCCTTTCAAATAAATAAAATAAGATCTTAAAAAAATAATATAAGGGGTCTTAAAAATCTATGATTCTGTGTATACTACAGAAAAACTGTGCATGGATTTCAAAATGTCTTTGCACCAAAACAAACTTAGCATTTAATTCAAATTTCCATGAATTTTTAAAGGCCACTCAGAGAGTAAGGAGTGTTGAGTGTGAATGTAGGAGGCAATTCAATGACTGAGAATTTTTTTTTTGTGGGCCCTACCCAACAGTCATTTTTTTTTTTTTTATTTGACAGGTAAAGTTAAAGACAGTGAGAGAGAGAGACAGAGAGAGGTCTTCCTTCCATTGGTTCACTCCCCAAATGGCCGCCACGGCTGGCGCTGCGCCAATCCAAAGCAAGGAGCCAGGTGCTTCTTCCTGGTCTCCCATGTGGGTGCAGGGGCCCAAGCACTTGGGCCATCCTTCACTGCCCTCCCGGGCCACAGCAGAGAGCTGGACTGGAAGAGGAGCAACCTTGACTAGAACCCGGCGCCCATATGGGATGCCAGCACCGCAGGTGGAGGATTAACTAAGTGAGCCACGGCGCCGGCCCCTGAGAATATTTTTTTAAGATTTATTTATGGGGCTAGCACTGTGGCATAGCAGGTAAAGCTGCCGCTTGCAGTGCCAGCATCCCATATCGGTGCCAGATCAAGTCCCAGCTGCTCCACTTCTGATCCAGCTCTCTGCTATGGCTTGGGAAAGCACTAGAAGATAGCCCTAGTGCTTGGGCCCCTGCACCTGCATGGGAGACCTGGAAGAAGCTCCTGGCTCCTGGCTTCAGATTGGTGCAGCTCTTGCCCTTGTGGCCATCTGAGGAGTGAACCAGTGGATTGAGGACCTCTCTCTCTCTCTCTCTGCCTCTGCCTCTCTAACTCTGCCTTTCAAGTAAATAAATAAATCTTTAACAAATAAAAGAGATTAATTAATTTATTTATTTGAGAGGCAGAGTTACAGACAGAGAGATGGAGAGGCACATACAAAGGTCTTCCATCCACTGGTTTACTCCTCAACTGGCTGCAACTGCCAGAGCTGGGCTGATCCGAAGCCAAGAGCCCCGAGCTTCTTCCAGGTCCCCCATGTTGGTGCAGGGATCTAAGCACTTGGGCCATATTGCACTGCTTTCCCAGGCGTAAGCAGAGAGCTGGATCATAAGTAGAACAGCCAGGACATGAGCTGGCACCCATATGGGATGCTAGCACTATCGGCAGAGTCTTAACCACAGTGCCAGCCCCGAAAGTATTTTTTCTGACAGCCAGCGTCCCATCCCAGTGTGCAAAGGACACTACTATGATCTTCAGGATAGCTACCTGAGAAGCGGTTCGTCACTTTCAGCACCTTCTTTTGTAATGGTTTTTGGAATTCAATACTCCTAGAATGATAATTAACAAATGATAGGCACACAATAAATTCCTAAGTGTTCTATCTTTTTAAAAAAATGCCCAGGTATAATCTTGATTTTTTTCATGAGATTTTATTTAATTGCTAACTTTGCTCTAAACTACAAAAAAAAAAATGAGCTATCAGGCTGGATTATCTGTTTTTCAGTTTTTCGGGCAAAAATTAGGTGATGACAAATGCAGTAAATGGATTTTCTTGAGTGGTTTATGAGCTGATTTTGAAGAGGATCCCTAATGGAATTGGAAAGGGCTGAGTCATGGTGGCATTATTGAAGCAAATGCGAGTGACTTCCCAGGAAGGCCTCCTGGAGCTCTGCGGATATTTCAGGGAATGCATGCTGCTCCTCAAAAGCAGGCACTGCCTGAACTTGGAACTCATGAGTCTGACTTGGAAGCCAGAAGCTGCCTCCCTCATTTGAGTATCCTGTGTGGTTGGGGATGCCCAGCAGGAACCCCAAATGGGGTGGGGATTGGGAGAAGACCAGCTGTCTCCTCCACGTCACACAGGAATCCTGTTTCTGCCTTCTGAGTGGGCCCCCCGAGAGCTTGTCCCATCTTTGCTTTAGAGCTAAAACCTCCATTCTGTGTCCAGGTTTTGAAATTCTGGATGCTTTAGTAAAATTGGGGTTGGTCACTACCTTACCTGTTTTTCTGATGAAGTTGCTTCTTCCTCTCTCGGGGTTGGGAGCTGACCCAGTCATAGAAACTGACTTTTACATAGCCTATCTGTGTTTCCCCAAATCTTACTGACCTCTTTCCCTTCTCCTAAGGAAGTGAGCCTACCCCAGATTCTCTAACGTCCCTAGTGTTGATAGTTCTTGGTTTCAGTCCTGAAGCCACTGAGAAACACGTCTTCATCAGGGGTTTGGGGAATGAGGAGAGTCATCGGTGAGGCGGAGTAGAATAACAGGCAGTCCTCACTCATCCTTCCTATGTTTTTATTGTAGCTATGTTCCCTGGAACCTGCACGAGCCAGAAAGAGGCAAATTTGACTTCTCTGGGAACCTGGATCTGGAGTATGTGGTGCTGATGCCTCTGGGGATGAAGAGGGGGCTGAGAGGTGGCTCTACAGGGCAGATTAGGACCCCTAGCAGTGCCCTGCCTGTGTGTTGAGAGCCGTGTTGTCAGCATCGGACAAGATGCTCTCCAGCCGTGACCTGTCTCCCTAGATGTGCTGGGCCTGCAGCCTCTCGGGCCCCTCTACACTGCAGCCAGAGGGGCTGGTGACCCTAAGTACAGTGGGGTCCATTCACCTAGAATGGGGGAGGGCTGCCCTCTAGGTTAGCTAGGCTGTCGGGGTCAAGCTCATTGCCCTGCCCCGCTGCACCCTGTCTGATGCTGTTCCCCCTCAGTACTGCAGGTGGGCTCTGCAGATGTTCCTGAGGCTGGGAGCCAGCGAGAACCCAGCTGTCAAGATGTCAGATCTCCAGCCTGGCATAGGGATGCCCCATTCTGGGAGTGGGGACTGAACCCTCCCTCCCCCCAGTTTCCCTGGTAGAGAGAGGATTGGAAAGAGGTGTGCAGCTGCTCCACTCTGTGGTATGTGCAGGCTCCCTCACACCTGGCCTCTGCCCTGGACTCATGCCCAGTACTGAGGGGGTTTTACCTCCCCAGGGCCTTTGTGCTGATGGCTGCAGAGATCGGGCTGTGGGTGATTCTGCGTCCAGGCCCCTACATCTGCAGCGAGATTGACCTCGGAGGCTTGCCCAGGTAAGCAGGACCCTGAGGGTCTCCAGTGCAGCTGGAAGTGTCTGTGTGCTGATGTGAACCTGTCGCAGACGAGGTATAGTTTTGCTTTTAAAGTGGAGCTTCCATTGTATATACTGAATCTCATTTTTGGAGTGAATAGCACCCCTGGGGTCATTTTGAGTGAGGTCGCAGTTGTTGCCCTGGCACAGTCCCCTGTGCATGGCTTAATGAGGCTGGCAGCAGCAGAGGGTGGGCCCGCCCCACCCCCACCCCCACCCCCACCCCCACCCCCACTGTGTCATCCTCAGGGCTCCTGTGGAGCTGCCAGCCCAGGCAAGACCTTTTTCTGTTCTGGACGGAGCTCACTTTCCCTGCCTACAACATGGAAAAACCCAAATCGGCCCTGTTTATAACGTTGTTCCTGAGTGTTATTTGAGAAGTCCAAGTATTTTGATGAAGTGTAAGAGAAGCAGCTTGTTTTCAGACCTTAGGTCCTGATGTATTGTACTCCTAGTGTGTGGTCTCAGCTGTCAGGAGAGCGTCCTTCTGCCGGCATAGAGATCACCTAGGGCCGCAGTCAGTCTTCAACATTACTGCCGTCGTTTTTCCAGCAAAACAGCTTTCTTGTTCATGTGCATCATCTTTCCCAGCCACACACTGTGCTGGTGCTGAGGCCCAGGCACCCTTCCCCAGAGGAAAGAAAGCCGAAGCTGTGCACCTGCCGTGTCCTGGGGGAACTGCCTCTCCCCGCAACGCGGGCACCAAGCCCCAGCCTTGCTTTCTCTCCCTGGTTTCCAGCACAACCTGCCCTTCCCACTGGGCCACACCTCTGCCTCCATCTCCTGCAGCTCCCATGACCACTGTACCATCACTGAGCCGTTCAGCCTGGCACAGTGCCCTGGACAAGCTGAGCAGCCCCGCCCCTCCCTGCAGATTAGGAATCTGTGTGCCACCGTCAGCGCTTTCCTCAGGCTCAGGCTCAGCTGCAGCAGGCACCTGAGGCCAGGGTTTTAGGGTCTTAACCTAGAAGCAGCAGGCAGTGCAGGCAGGCAGGCCCCGCCCAAGAGGGTGGGGCTGGCTGACTGACACTGGGGAGCTGAGCCTTTTTGTTAGGTGTGAGATGGAGCAGGGAGCCCTGTGCCACTGCTATCTCCTCCTCCGTTTTTCTATCAACATAAGTTGACTGTTTCTGATCTAGTTCTGGTAGGGTCCGAAAATGCCCACCACCCGAGGAACGACTCCAAGAGACTTTTCTCTCATGCATCCAGCAAAGGGTTAAAGATTTATTGATCCAACATGTTGGGGCCCTCTGAACATACAAGGACAGAGGAGCCCCGAGGAACTACAGCATAGGGTTTATAAAGGCAAAAACCGCAAAATTGGGAGCGGGGAGAGAATACACGGTTGCTAAGCAGTTGCTAAAATCTTACAATCAGCAATTATGATTTTAAGACATAGACAAATCACATCTTCATTATTAGCCCAGGTAACCCAGGTGCAACCTTTCTACTTTTAAGCTTGAGCAATCATGCTAGGGGGTTTTTGTGCTCTGCCAAGGGTGATGTAGTGCACTGCTATTGTCCGACTATTTGAGGTCATAGTTTCAGACCAGAGTCTCACGGTGGGGGCGTGCTTTCCCAGAATGGAGTCTCAAGTGCTCCAAAATGGAGTCCCTACTGTCAAGGTGCTACTTTACTTTGTCTTATTTTCGCAGCTGCACCAGGAAGGTTTAAACCTGTAAGCTTAAGCTTAACTTTTTACACCCGCACATATACAATTTTAACTCTTCAGTTCAGTATCTTCAAATCAGGGCAAGTGAAGCTCCAGAGCCTTTTATTGGAAAATGTATGTGTTTTCTCAAGTGGGGACTGCCTAGATTCCAGCCTTCTGATTGCAACAGCCAGACTACAGGAAGGTTCATCTCTGTACTGGCCCGCTGCTGCCCTGCCCCAAGCTCTGCGTAGTCAGTGTGGCTCCTGGGCGTGTCAGCCCTGTTGGTGGACAGGGCTGGAAGGCACGCAGCTGCTCAGTGTTTTCTGGGTGAAGATCGCATCCCTGTCCTCCAGCCCCAGGGATCCTAATCCTGTTGGTTCCAGCCCTGTGTGTCAAGATTGTAAAGCAAATGTTGGAAAGCTGGGCTTTCAGCCCCGTGACAGGCTTTTCTCATTCTGCCTGACAGCAACAGCTGCTGGTGGCTACGAAGCTGGAAATGGATTCTCACCAGGGCTGGGCCAGTGGGTCAGGAGCCGTGTGGAGTGCAGGCAGGGTGGGCACTGTGGCATGGTATGCTGGCACCGAATCTGTCTACCTGGTCTCCTAACCATCTGCTGAGAGTGGGCAGTGGGTTGGAACCAATTGCCTTGCGTCCTGGTCTCTGCAGCCACTGCTGAGCCTCCCTGAGTCTACTTCCTTACTGCACTGGCAGCTGTCCAGAGCCAAGCCACACAACACTAACACCTCTCCCTGCACTTTGGACTTCAAGCTGGCTACTCCAGGACTCTGGCATGCGGCTGAGAACTACGTACAAGGGCTTCACCGAAGCAGTGGACCTTTACTTTGATCACCTGATGTCCAGAGTGGTGCCACTGCAGGTAAAGCGACAGACTCTTCTTTGGTCTTCACCTGTCTTCCTGCTTGGTAGTAGGTCATCTCAGAGGAAGACACTCTTAGCGGATGCCTGGGGTTTGTAATTGGCGGGGCTTGTAGTCTTTGTGTTTTGAAAGATCCGTGCACTTGAGTGTCCTCAGGCAGTGCTGAAAGGAGATAGATGAGAGGGCATGTGTGCCCTTACAGTGGCACAGCCATCCATCCAGACAGTGCTGGAGCTGCAAGGCTGGGATGACTTGATAGCTGAAGACACCCAGCGTCGGCATCGCAGCCACACAGTTCTGTTCAAGGTAGCGCGTGTGGATTGGCCTTTGCCTGTGGAACAGCCTACCTCTCTGTGGTTACAACATTCCAATTGATGGCTTCTCTAGGTACAGAAGGGTGCTGTATGTTACACATTTACTATTTAAAACCTATGTGCTAATATTAATTCAAACAAGAATCTAAGCGTTTCATTTAATAATTGGAAGGAAGGGAAAGGGAGGGGAGAGGAGGGGGGAGGGGAAGAGGTGGGGAGGGGAAGGGAAGGGAAAGGAAGTGAAGGGAAGGAAAGAGAAGGGAAGGGGAGGGGAAGGGAAGGGAGAGAAGGGGAAGAGCAGGGGAGGAGGGAGGGAGGGGAGGGGAAGGGAAGGGAGTAGGAAAGGAGGAGGGAGGGAGGGAGGGAAGAAGGAAGGAAAGAAGGAAGAAACAACAGAAATGGGAATCACTATTTAAACAAGAATCTAAGCATTTCATGTAATAATAATAAGAGGAAGGAAGGAAGGAAGGAAGGAAGGAAGGAAGGAAGGAAGGAAGGAAGGAAGGAAGGAAGGAAACGGGAATCACTGCTTATATAAAACCATGAAGTGTGATGTTGAGAAATTAGTACATCAAGAGAAAATTAATACACACAGAAAAACATTACTCTTGAGTCATTAGTTTGGAATATTCACAGAACAGAAATCAGAGGCAACTCCCAGGTAAGATAGGATACTAAGTCAAACCTGAATTCCAAATAGGCAAAAAGTTTAATGTTTTTGGTGTAAATATATTCCAAATGTTGTGTAGGTCATACTTAGAGTAAAAAAAAGTCATTGTCTATATAAAAAATATTATGAATTCAAATTTAGCACAGTCTAAATTTGGCAGCCTAATCATGAAAGAAGCAAGGAGCTGGGAAGTATTAGCCTATACTTTGCAAGGAAGATGGGGCTGCTGATTGGGCCCAGCAGGTGGCAGTAGTGGGTTGGGTAGGGAGGTCATTCTGGGAACACAGCTTGTAGGCATCCTTAGACATGGAAATACACCAGAGCTCTTTTGTTTCCTGAATAATTTTTTATTCTCTTCATTTTTTAATTTAATTTTTTATTTATTTTATTTTATTTTTTTGACAGGCAGAGTGGACAGTGAGAGAGAGACAGAGAGAAAGGTCTTCCTTTGCCGTTGGTTCACCCTCCAATGGCCGTCAAGGCCCGCGCACTGTGGCCAGCGCACCGCGCTGATCCGATGGCAGGAGCCAGGTACTTATCCTGGTCTCCCATGGGGTGCAGGACCCAAGCACTTGGGCCATCCTCCACTGCACTCCCTGGCCACAGCAGAGAGCTGGACTGGAAGAGAGGCAACCGGGGCAGAATCCGGCACCCTGACTGGGACTAGAACCTAGTGTGCTGGCGCCGCAGGTGGAGGATTAGCCTATGGAAAATATGGATAATAAAATTACCATATTAGCCTTTTAAACATTTTTTTACTTATTTTTGTTTATTTGGAAGCAAAGAAACAGAGAGACAAGATGGACAGAGAGAAACTCTTATCCTCTGAACCCCTCCCCAGTGACTGGCCAGGCCAAAGCTGGAGCCAGGAACCCAGTCCACATCTGTCACTTGGGTGGTGAAGACCCAGCTGCTTGAGCCATCGCCTGCTGTCTTCCAGGGTGTGCGTTAACAGGAAGCTGGAATTGGGAACAGAGCTGGGGCTCACACCAGGCACTCCAGTATAGTATGTGGGTGTCCCAGCTGGCACCTCAACTGCTAGGCCAAACCATTTTTAAGTGCACAGTTCTGACGCATTACATGTCCCTTCTTATCTGCAGGGGATACGTTCCAAGATCCCCAGTGAATGTCTGAAACCACAGATCTTACTGAACCCTGTGTACACTGTGTTCTTCCCTATATATGCATGCCTATGATAAACTTTAATTTATAAATTAGGCAGGGTAAGATATTAGCAACAATAGCTAACAACAAAATAGGACATTATTGCCATCATACTGTAATAAGTCAGAATCACTACTTGTGATCTTTGGACTTTTATTTGGTAAATTGAGGGTTACTTGAACACTGAACGAGCACTGAAATACCACCGCAGTTGCCCTGAGAAACAGTAGCTACAAGGGTAGCATATATGTGGATACGCTGGACAGAGGGATGATTCATGTCCCAGGCAGGATGACATGGGAAGGCATGAGATTTCATCATGTATTCAAAACGGGGTGCAATTTAGAACTTAGGAGCTGGTTATTTGTGGAATTTTCCACTTTCTGTTTCAGACCACAGTTGAGTATGTGGATTGCTATGTCCACCTTGTTGTGCAGTCGTTGCCTCGATCTTAGTCCAGGCCACTGTGACGAAGTCCCTTTGCCTCGGTGCCTTTTAAGCAACAGGAAGTTACTTCTCACAGTCCTGGAGGCTGGAAGCCTGAGATCAGGGAGCTAGCTTGGTTGGTTTGGGGGTCGGGGGGAGTGTGCTTTGGAGCTAGCATGGTTAGTTCTGGGGGGGGGGGGGGTAGTGTGCTTTGGAGCTAGCATGGTTGGCTCTGGGGTCGGGGGTGTTTGTCCGCATTGTGGACAGCTGTCTTCTTGTATCTTCATCTGGCAGAAAGAGTGAGAGAGCTCTTAGGGGTCTCTTCTAAAAGGGCAGTGGTTCCATAAAGGAAGGCCCCACACTGATAACCCACTCACCTCTCAAAAGTCTCACCTTTTAATCCCATCACACTGGGAGTGAGGATTGCAACATACATACTTGTGGGGAACACAAATAAAGTCCACTGCAAACACTATCCGTCTCCAGAACTTTTTCCATCTTCCCCATCTGAAACCCCATATCCATAAGCTCCCTGGTCCTCCATCTCCACATCTCCTGGCAACCACCATTGCACTCCCTGTGTCTATGAATGAGATGATTCTAGCCACTGCGTGGAGATGGAATCAGATGGTATTGTGACTGGCTCTGTAGTGTGATGTTCTCAAGGTTGAACCACGTTGTAGCATGGCTCAGAGTACCCCATTGTGTGTAGATGTCATGTGTGCTTTATCTGGTCACTCATCCATGGTTGTTCTCACCTGTTGGTGACTGTGACTGAAGCTGATGCAAACATGGATGTACAAGTATCATTTCAAGTTCCTGCTTACTTCTTTGGGGTATATACCTAGGAGTGGTATTGCTGCACTGAATAATAATTTCATGTTTAATTTTCTGAGGAGCAGGATAGTGTTTTCCACAGGAGTTGCACCATTGAATTTCCATCTATAATGCACAAGCATTGGAAAATCATGAAGTTGCATGAAATTAAGACATTCTACCTCAAACTCATACCAACTTAAGTCAATCACATTAAAAATGCTACTCTTTTACACTTAGGTCCCCCTTTATTTCATTGATATCACAAATTACATCTTCATACATGGTATAATCATTAACCTGCATTAATCTAAGGTTTATAATTATGCATTTGTATTTTAAACCTTGTAGAAAATAAAAACTGGCATTGGAAACTAAAATTACAGTGACATGTTATAAATATTTTCCTGCATTTATGTTTACTAGAAACTTTTTTATTTCCAAATGTCTTCAAGTTTTTATGTAGCATCTTGTGGTTTCAACTTAAGGCGGTTTTTTGTAGGGCAGGTCCTGTGGTAATAAACTTCTTCAGCTTTTCTTTGGGGATCTCTGGAATTTTTTTCCATTTGTACCTTTGGATGAGCAAGGTTTCTCTGTGTTTTCGTGTGGGTTGTGTGTACGTGTGTGTGTGTTGAACACTGAGCATTTGAGAACAATCAGAAGCATAAGCCATCACCTTACCCAGTCTTTGCAGACTGGCAGAGATGATCTTCACTAATTAGTAGGACCATGAGCCTGGAGATAAGTAAAGGTGATGACTTAGGATTTCAGATACTTCCTAGACTTTTGTCCTGTCTGCACCTTTGTGCGTGTGTGTGTGTGTCCTCTCCAACCCCAGCCCTGCTTGCTGTTAGATGTCTTCATTTCCCAAAGAGGCTCACCCTGGCTTCCTGGGGCTGGAGGTATTCTGTTGCATTCTTAACTGCAATCCCTCACCTCCAGGCATCCTTAGATTTGTAGTTTCCCAGTTGTAGCCTTCTTTGGCTTCCAGCCTGAGTGGTTCAAATTAATCTGATGTCTCCTGTCTGAGCTCCAAGTCAGACAAAGCAGAACTAGAACAGTAGGCATCCCACAATCAGGCCAGAACAGGGCAAACAGATTGCATTTTGTTTCTTCCATCCTGAGAGAAAGAACTGGGAACTGGGACACTTCTGACCACATCATGTCACACTGAGGAGGGGATGGGTCACCTGGGAGGAAAAAAGTCACACAATGTCCTGCCACCTGGTGTGTGGCTCGTTCTTGATTGGACTGGTCACTGGTCTGCGTAGGTCTTTGGTATCCAGAGCTCATATTAGTTGGATGTTTCCATGACAGAGTACAAGTCTGGTACTTCCTGCTCTACTTCTGGGCAACTCTAAATGATACACCAAACCTGGTTATACTTTCATTTTCAAATGAAATGTTTTCTAGTAATTTGTTGTAGCTGTGGTGAATTTAGATAATATTGCTCCCACTACAACCTCAGTTTCTGTCAACCCGTCTCTTCCTAGTATAAGCATGGTGGACCCATCATTGCTGTGCAGGTGGAGAATGAGTATGGCTCCTATAACAAAGACCCTGCCTACATGCCTTACATCAAGAGGGTAAGTGGCACCTGCATTAATTTTTTCATGTTCCCTCTGGAATACATTAGGGGCTAGGCCATGTGGAGCTACTATTTTCCCCATTCTAATACCATGTCTCCCAACACCATTTATTAATCAGTGAATTTTTCTTCATTGTCTCCGTTGTTTTATTTCATCAGGGATGTCATTTATCCTTCATTGATTGAATTCATCTGGGGATCGCAGTGTGCACCTGGTGTGGCTGGGGCCTAGATGAAAGGAATTAACTTGATTGAGTGGTGATGATTAGGGAATGCTTCCTGGAGAGGCTGCTGTCATTCAGTGTCCAATGCAGATCAGCTTTACTTGGGGAGTTTTTAAAATCCCTATGCCTGGCCCATATGCCATTTCAATCAAATAAGAACCTCTCAGAGAGGCCGGCGCTGTGGCTCAATAGGCTAATCCTCTACCTAGCGGTGCCGGCATACCGGTTTCTAGTCCCGGTCGGGGCACCGGATTCTGTCCCGGTTGCCCCTCTTCCAGGCCAGCTCTCTGCTATGGCCCGGGATTGCAGTGGAGGATGGCCCAAGTGCTTGGGCCCTGCACCCCATGGGAGACCAGGAGAAGCACCTGGCTCCTGGCTTCGGATCAGCGCGGTGCGCCGGCCGTGGCGGCCATTGGAGGGTGAACCAACGGCAAAGGAAGACCTTTCTCTCTCTCTCTCTCACTGTCCACTCTGCCTGTCAAAAAAAAAAAAAAAAAGAATCTCTCAGGTGTTCTCATGCAGCAGATCCCAGCCACATGCCCGCCCTGTGAATTAAATAAGAATTTCTGAGTGGGTTCTCAGGCATTGGATCCCAATGTGTGGTGGAGCTGAGAACTGCTGACTCAACACAGGCCCACCAGGACTGTAGTAACACCTGAAAGAACAGGCTAATAGTCACTTAAGGTTCTGTCACTTAGTAGCTGAAACCTGGAACAAATTCCTTCATTTCTTTAAATCTCTTTTTTTCTCTGCTGTACTCTCTGCTCGGACTAAAGAATGTCTGCTTCTTTGAATTGTGTTATGTGAGACCATGCCGTTCATATGTTACTGAGTACATTTGGTGCACCATAAATTGTCGATAAAATATGACTTTAAATTATTTATTTTATTTGACTTATTTGAGAGGCAAACAGACAGAAGCAGAGACACACAGAGAGACACTGAATTCTCGTCCACTGGTTCCTGTCCCAAATACCTGGGAACCAGGAACTCCGTACAGGTCTCCCATGTAGATGGCAAGGACCTAGCTCATTGGGCCATCATGTGCTGCCTTCCAGGGTGTGGCAGGAAGCTGGAGTCTGACACAGAGCCAGGACTCAAACCCAAATGTGGGATGTGAGCATCCCAAGAGGCCTGTTAACTGCTCTACCACACGCCTCAATAAGTAAGACTCGATTAGAATCACAGACATGTGTGCCTGAGTACTTGGGAGGGTCAGCCGTGGTGTGAGCTGAATGCTAACTGTTAAGTGGCCTCCGATTGAGGACTGGGTGATTCTGGCTTTGGCCTTTGATGCCCCGGGAGCCTCTGTGACATGCAGATTCATGTCCCATCTGGAAATTATTCCCTTACCTATAGGCTGGAGACCACCCAGCTTGTGGGTGCTTGTCCACTCTCCTGTTCTTGTCACCTGCAGAGCTGAAGATCCCAGGCTGTCCGAGAACCATAGCCCTCCTCCAGCTGTAAGGGGTACATTCACTCCTGACAGCCAAGGGCACACTTCCAGTTTTCTGTTTATCTTTGAGTTAGTTGGAAAAGCCCACCCTGGGCACGGGAATCAAAGCTTCTGCTGCCCCTCCTGACCCCCTCAGACTATCTCCTGGGCCCTGAGGCTTCTCCAACAGTTGTTTACTTGATTACTTGATTTCCAGACTGGGAGGGCCTTGGGCAAGTCCCTTCCCAGGTTCCAAGTGGACATGTGACTCAGAGCTGCTCTGAGAATGGCATGAGACACAGACACCAAGCTGCTGGCTGTGCTTGGCAGGTCACTGGCACCCAGGAGCTAGGTAATGTCCCTCAGGGGTGCAGCCGGGACATCACATTCCATGAAAATGTGTGACTTTACAGTTAGAGCCCAAGTGAATGTGGAATATCAGAGAGTGATGGTTGCAGGGGTGCGATTGGGGCAGATCCAGGGCTTTTGACAGAAAGCTCACCAGGTCCCTTGGCTTGGCTCTGCAGCGTCTGTCATTCCGGGGAGTGATGGTGCCCCTCCCTTACCAGCACAAGGGTTAGACAACATTAGTTACCCACAAGATTCTCTGCTCCCCCTGTTTCCACAAGAATTCAGTTGAAATAAATCACCCTACAGGGAAATTACGGGAAAGATCTCCCGTGCTGATGCTGCCGATCCCAAAGAGCCCAGAGCCCAGAGCCGAGCCCCTGGCGGTGGGCAGACTCGGGGTCGTGTCCACACGCTCACCTCAGTTCTGGAGGCTGTCCCGCCGTGTTCTACCTTGCTGAGGCGCTGTGTCTGTCACCTTTACATCACTTCCACTACCATGCCCGAGAGGAGCTCCGTAGGGGAAAGAAGGTTTACTCTGGGCTGGCGTCTGGTGAGAGTAGAGAGGGAGGTCCCAGGGCGAGCCAGGGAGCAGAGAGAGCGTGGAGACCCAGCTCAGCTTAGGTATGCAACCACCTCGGGATAAGCCCCCAGTTACCTAAGGGCTGGCCTGGACCCCTCCATGCCATAATTAGATCACATCTCATAGGAAACTGGCGCAGTTTTATCTATGGTGTGATCTACACCCTAATTTACACACTATGCCCTGGCTCCCCCCCCCCCCCCCCCCCCCGGGTCTTTTTAATCCTGGGATTTGGGGAAAAAAGGGGGGGGCCCTATGGGCCCACCCCCCAGGGGGAAGGTCCCCCCCCCATCCTAATGGGATTCGCTGCTCCTGCTTCCCTGCCCGCCCTCGGGCAAAGTTTTAAAATGGCCTGTTCCTGGCCGGCGCCATGGCTCAATAGGCTAATCCTCCACCTGGTGGCGCCGGCACACCGGGTTTTGGTCGGGGCACCGGATTCTGTCCCGGTTGCCCCTCTTCCAGGCCAGCTCTCTGCTATGGCCCGGGAGTGCAGTGGAGGATGGCCCAAGTGCTTGGGCCCTGCACCCCATGGGAGACCAGGAGAAGCACCTGGCTCCTGGCTTCAGATCAGCATGGTGCACCTGCTGCAGCGCGCCGGCTGTGGCAGCCATTGGAGGGTGAACCAACGGCAAAGGAAGACCTTTCTTTCTCTCTCTCTCTCTCTCTCACTGTCCACTCTGCCTGTAAAAAAAAAAAAAAAAAAAAAAAGGGCCTGTTCCTGAACACTTGGCCCTCTTGGCTCCTCTCTCCTGTGCTCTCTCCTGGCCCTTCTCTCCTGCTCTCTTGGCTCTTCTTGTCTGCTCTCCTCTCCCCCTCTCGTCTCTCATCTCTCGTCTCTCTCTCTCTCCTCTCCTCACTAGCTCCTCTCCTCTCTGTCTCTCTCTCTCTTACAATCTCCCCTTTTTCTCCTCCCTTTGCCGCCCCACCCCTCCAGTCTGCTACGTTTCCCCAATAAACCCTTCCATTTACTCCGGTGTTCGGTGTTCGGTGTGCCTTGTGACGTCTAACAGTCTCCACCCTTTGTCCATTAACCGTTAACAGAAACCCTTGAGGTGTCGACGTGCTGGTGAGTTTGGGGTGCGAAACATTAAGATTCTAGTGGTGACTGCTGAGAAGCACCTCTGTAGAGGGCTGTGCTACAGGCACAACAGCAAACGCTCAGTAGGTGGGAGTGATCATTCCCGGTCATGGCTGCAGCTCAGCTTCCTACACTTCTTCACGCACCCACTCGGCACCTCCCAGGAGCGCTTCCTGCTCTCCCAGGGCGCAGCCAGGCCCTTGCTGCTGACCAAGTCCATGCTGACTTGGTTATGGGGAAGGGACAAGCTGTTTGCTGGTGTTGGCCTGGAGGCCTGACATTCTCACGAGCAGGTGACAGCAGGGCTGTCAGCTTCTCAGGCTTCAGCGTTGGAAAGCAGCCTGGCCTGCAGCACCCAAGGGCTGCCAGACCTTGATACCCTGGTCCCGCTGGGACTGGGATTCAGGCTCCTTGGAGCCTTGCTGAGTGCGGCGGGCACAGACAGGGCGGGCTGGCCTCTGTGATCTCCAGAGATAAATGCTCCTTTTCCCTGTCTCCCTCCCACACCACCAGCCGCACACCCCTGCCGAAGCTCTGAGGAGGGAGCTCACGCCTTGGTTTGCGTTCTTGCTCCACAGGCCTTGGAGGACCGCGGGATCGTGGAGCTACTGCTGACTTCAGACAACAAGGATGGCCTGAGCAAGGGCGTGGTGCCTGGAGGTACTTTCAAGGAGGCCAGCTTGGGACCGGAGCCTCCGTCTCTGTGCACAGGGCTCTGGGCTCCGGGGGTTGCAGGACCTCATCATAAATGACACACTAACCAGCACTGTGGCCGGTCTCCCTCCCCTGTCAGGTGCCCAGTACAACCTAGCACCCTGTAGGTGACTGCCCCTCCTAGGAGCTCCCTCTCATCAGAAAACCGCAGCTGCGCTGTCCTCCCTTGCTCGAGCCACAAACCTTGCCGTCATGCTCAGCCTGTCTCCCCGGTGCTCCCGCCATGTAGGCTGTCAGCACATCTGTCTGGTCTTTAGCTTTATCTTTGAGACGTGGCTGGACTCCAGCTCCTCAGCTGTGGCCTTCGTTTACCTCTTGCTCCTGTGCAGGGGTGTTTTGAAGGCCTTCCCTTTCCACTGACTCTTGGCACCTGTTTGAAATCACTGAGCCGCTGAAAGGCAAGCTTTGTATCTCTGTGCCTGGAATGTGACAGGTGCTCAGGATGACTGTCCTGTGAGAAGGGAGAGGCTCTTGTCTCCAAGTAGAGGGAGAGAGTCAAGGACTCAGCCCTTAGGGCCCGCTGTGTGGGCCAGCAGCGATTCCTCCTATCTCCACATGGTGGCACTATGGCCCCATGGTTGGGTCCAGGGCCTGCCGTGGCTCCACCCGTCTGGTCACTCCTGATGCTGTACCTGTTTTTGGTGCTTCACTATTGTACTGAACGAAGGCCTTGCGAGAATGCTGGCCGTCTCCTGGGCGGACTGCTTCCTGCATGCCCTCCCTTCCTCCCCTTCGGACACCACCCCGGTGCCCCTGCTGCCACTTGCTGCCTGGAATGATACTTTCAAACTCTAAAAAAGAAAAAGCAGTGCATCCACAGGGTCTCATTTTGTTTTTATTTCATCCCCCAGAAATGACCACTCTGAACTTTCTAACTGCTTCTCCGGGTATCTTCTTTCCTATTTCTGGAGAATATGCATCTAGAACACTGTACTTACAGCACTCTGGCTTCTTGGGGGTGGAGTTTTTTGTCTTCAGCTCTCACCCGATGCCTTTCCTGCCAGCCTAGCCAGTCCATCCCAGTCGGTGCCTTGTCAGCGTGTGTCTGTGTCACGTGGTCATGCGCTGGCTGCACCAAGGCTATGCCCTTGGATGCCTTCTGTGAATTCTCGAGCTGTCAGTCAGCACGCTTGTAAATATCCCGTTCTTCCTCTGAATTCTTCCCTTTCCTCTCCCTTTGTGCCCTCCCCTTTTGTCTTTTAAACAAATGCTTCCCCAGACACCTTCCCAACACCCACCACTAGCATTTTTCAGTATCACCTGGCCACGTGGAGAAGTGTGGAGACCACCCTCTCGTGTCTCTGACTTGGTGTCGCCTTTCTCTGCAGACCAGCCTCTGGGTCCTGTGTCCTGGAATTTGGAAGCATGGCTCCATCACTGCCCAGCAACCAGCGGTGCTGCTGGACACCCTGACCTCTGGCTCCTGATCCTTTCTAATGTCCTGTTCCCCCTTTCTCAGGAACCGCAGGTTTTCCTGCTCATCCTTGTTGCCTGTGTTTCACAGCAGGGTTTTTCACTTCTGCGGAGTGCCAGAATGGGCAGTTAGGTCCTCTGATGTGCTTATCTGATGACGCTATACTCTCTCTCTCGTTCTTTCTGTTGTTGTTGTCATTCTTATGATTTGTGCTTTGGACTCTCAGACATATTCTCAGTCTAAGTTTTTTTTTTTATCATTTTTATTGTTTGTTTATCTCTTTACCCTTTAGCTCTTCCTGTATAACTTTCTTAGCTTTTCTATTTCATTCATTTTGGATCCCATTTTTCTTTGGATCTATTTTATTTTTTCATAACACATTTTGTAATTGGATAGTATCTTTTTTATTTTCTTTTTTTCAAACACTGTATTTATTCCTTTTCAATTTTGCTTGTTCTGTCTTTCTGGCACCTGCTGTGCCCAGTCTTCCTTGTGAGCGGGTGTTTTCAATTGTCTGGCCTGTCCTGAGCAGCTTCAAAAAGAGGAATTAAGTGGCCCCACGGAGCTGCTAGTGTGGGCGGAGGCTGCGACAGGACTCTTCCCTGCAGGTGGTTAGGCGGTGGTGGCAGTTTGAAGGATGGAAACTGAGATGTTGTCTTGAGCACTGTGATTCTGGAGAAGCCTTTGGCTTCATGCTGTGATGTCTTAGGACGCAGCAGGTTCCTCTTACACAGAAGGCCTGCATTCCCTGCTGTGGCCTCCCCTCCTGTCCCACGCTGCAGCTACTCACATCCAGCTTTTCTTGAGAATGTGGTCTTCACTGAGTGGATGGGAACGGCTGGTGATGGAGGACAATGCCGAGAGGCTGGGGGCCTAGTGGGCTCCCTGTCTGGTGCTTGCAGCTCTGGGCTTGGAGTGGGTGAGGCCCTGGGCTGGAGGTGAAGCTGGCCGTAGCTGCTTCCATTCTTCTAGGCTGTTTAGTGTCACAAGGTTTCCTTGACACTTTGTCTGCTAATATCTCCTCTCCACTCCAGTTCCTCTTAGCATCCACCTGTCCATCCCTTTCTTTGTACTGTACTGTGCGTCAGGAAGAGGGGGCATAGGCGCGTGTGTTCAGTTAGCCATGTGTGTCCAATTGACTTTGAGGTTCCTGCCTGTTGAGTTTCAGACAGGCCACTTGTCTTCAAGGAGTTTCTTCATTTCAGGTGAGGAGGGATCTGGGTGCAGGGTGTCAGTCAGTGGGTTTGTGGAAGACAGTGACATCACAGGACAAAGTGTTTGCAGCCCCACAGTGCTGCTCACTGATTGTGCAAACTCCAGGCAAGAGGTGGTAACTCATGGAGCCTCAGCTGCCATCTGTTTTCTGCCGCTGGTAACCAGGACAGCGTCATAGTGTATGGGCTCACCAGGCCGGCTTAATCCCTATCCTGCACTGCTGGGCCCTCTGGAGCCCAAGCCACAGCCCTCACGTGTGACGCCAGCTATGTCAGCCAATGGCACCAAGCAGGGAGCCTCCCAGCCAGGTCTGCAGCTGGACAGTGCCAAGGGAGCCACGACCATCACCAGCCACAGTGCATCTCTCCTGAGCATGTATCTCACTATGGAAAGCCAGCTAGAAGGTCTTTTCAGATTTAAAATGAACACATGATCACATAGAAAAGCAAAACTAACCCACAAGAAGTTAAATAGGTGTGCGTGTTTACATCAGTAGCAATGCTTGGGGTACACAGTAAAGATCAGATTCTTGTTCTCACAAAAGCAGCAGAATTGCATGTATAAAAAGTACAATTACTCAAGAACAGATGCTTAGTGAGTGATGGTTCTGTCGCTCTGGGCTGGATAGCAGACTTCCCAAAATGAACAAAATAAGTACTCCTGGCGTCTGAGGAGCTAACTTCCAATTGTTCTAATTGGAGGTAGGAAGCAAGGGACTCAGGAGGGTCTGGAGTAGAGTTGAGACTAGTGAGCTAACGATCCTGGGGGCTTGAGGAGGTCCTGGGTTAATTATTGGGACTAGCGCGTTCACTGCCCTTGGAACTGAGGCAGGGGCACGGGCTGTGTATTCAGACTGATGAATTTCCTGCCGGCCAGCCGTGAGGGGGGTCTGGGATAATTTTGAATCGCCTTCCTGACCTCGGGGTAATCTTTGGGTTTTTTGTGTCTCTCGTTCTCCAGTGATGGCCACCATCAACCTACAGTCGCACGCGGAGCTGCAGTCACTCACCACGTTCCTCCTGAGTGTGAAGGTGCGTCCTGCCTGGGCAGCGGCAGCCTGCTCAGCACCTGTGTGGGGTTCTGCGTGCCCTCTGCTGTCAGGGGTCCCCAGCCTGGGTACTCTGCGCCTGCCGGGAGAGCCGCTGAGGTGTTGCTGCGAGGGCTGGCGCAGCACGAGTGAGGTGTGCCACCTGAAGGGTGCCCCTGAGGCTCCTGGCTGTCTTTTGTGGGTTCTCCTCACCCCTGACAGCTTTCAGGAATTGAGGGAGAGGAGGAACACTTCCCTGCCCTGTCCTGTGGGAAGTATGTGACTAACCTGTGGGGCTCCTCTGATGTTACAGAGATGATTGTCTCTGCAAGGTAGGAAACCCGTCCCTTAAGATCAGAGAGAGAGGCCGGCGCCGCGGCTCACTAGGCTAATCCTCCGCCTAGCGGCGCCGGCACACCGGGTTCTAGTCCCGGTCGGGGCGCCGGATTCTGTCCGGGTTGCCCCTCTTCCAGGCCAGCCCTCTGCTGTGGCCCGGGAGTGCAGTGGAGGATGGCCCAGGTGCTTGGGCCCTGCACCCCATGGGAGACCAGGAAAAGCACCTGGCTCCTGGCTCCTGCCATCGGATCAGCGCGGTGCGCCGGCCGCAGCGCGCCGGCCGCGGCGGCCATTGGAGGGTGAACCAACAGCAAAGGAAGACCTTTCTCTCTGTCTCTCTCTCTCACTGTCCACTCTGCCTGTCAAAAAATAAAAAAAAAAAAAAAAAAAAAAAAAAAAAAAAAAAAGATCAGAGAGAGAGAGAGAGAGAGAGTTTCTGGCCGTAGCTCAGTCTTGTTCTGATGGGTCTGACGAGTCTGCTTGTGTCTCCTAAAGAGAGGAGTGCCCGGGGCTGAGCTGCAGCTCATGTGCAGGGCAGAGGCCTGGTCTCTCTGGGGTCCCTACACTGTCCCGTGTCCACACTGATCCCTGGCTCAGGAGCAGCACTTACGGGTTGTGTGTGCCTCACCTGTAAACAGATGCCTGTGGGGAGGCGCATGCACATGGAGTCACCAGAGCAGTGGGGCCTGACAGGGTGAGGGCCCTGTTTGTGCCTGGTGAGGCTCCTGCTGCAACGTGGCCGCCACCCTGGATGGGTAGGAAAGGTTCCAAGGAGGAAGTGGGTAGGGCCGATCCTGGGTCAGCAGCAGCTCATGCACACAAGTGGGTGTAGGTCAAGTCCCTTCCTGCTGTCCTCCTCAGTATCCCCTGGGTGCCTGCCCTGTGCCTGGAGTATGCAAGAGACTATGGGTTTTGTAACACACGGGAAGAGAGAGACACGGAGTACACAGTCACACAACTAAGTGGACCTGTGCTGAGTGCCCAGGAGACTGCGAGCTGCCCCCACACCTGCTGTGTGGCCTCGGGCAAGTCATTCAGCCTCTCTGATCTTAATTAAGTGGGTATAGTAAGAGTACCAACCGTCTGGCTGTTTGAGATACAATGAGGCAGTGTTTGGGAGGCACCATGTACAGTGGCTGATACACGTTATTGCCTTGTGTTAACCCCTCTGTGCTCCTGCTTGTAGAGGTGGCCATGCCTGTACCATCCCAGGCCAGTGTCCTGTTGGCATTGGCACTGCCACAGGGCATGCTTGTGCACAGTTCAAAGATGTCTCTCTTTCTTAGGGAAATATAGATGCTCCCCTAAATGGACAGTTGAGGCCCCAAGGTCTGCCTGACCTTGGGGTGCTCAGTGGCACCTTGCTAGTCCTCTGGGTCCATGCTAGTGATGGAGATGACCAGTGAGAAGGATTTCTTGTGGACTTCATCTCTGCTAGACCCTGCACTCCCTCATTCAGGCTTTCCTGACCGCCATACGAGCTGGCCACTGTTACTGCCGTTTTACAGCCCAGGAGGTAGACACAGGATGGATAAAGCACTCAGAAACCTTCTGATTGCAGGGTTCCAGCTCTTGGCCACAGAGTGTGGTATAGTGACCTGGCCACCAATGGACACCCACTTACCTTGGTCCTGGGACTCGCAGAGTCCTGAGATGTGGGCCCTAGAATCTGCTCCTTCTTTTCAGTGGTTCAAGCATGGTGCGGTGTGTTCTCTTCATGGTAGACAGTTTACAAAGAAAACCAAGCCACCAGTCTTGCTGAAAAATCAGTGTGGCTTCTTCACTTTGGCTTTGATCTGGGTATGAGCAGTAACTCCTCAGTGGAGCACCGTTGGCTTCACCAACCTGAATCAGATTCTGTTCTGTGTGCAGTGTCCTTGAAAGACCAGGCGGCACTTGATCAGCTGTCGCTGAATGTGGAGGAAGGCCCTCTGGCACGACCTGAAATCCTAACATACTAGGTCTTACGCCCCCTCCCCACCTGGGCCCTCCAGAGCTTCTGCTGTCCTGAGAATGAGCCCTGCATCTTTGGGGCAACTGTGGGCCGGCATCCGTATTCTGAAGTAATCCTTAACACTCACTGATCACTTAGCCAGGGGACGGATTGACTCTGCCTGCAGAACCTGCACAGTGACTGGCTGGGGTGTGCGGCCTTGCTGTTCTGGTCCAGTTTTGCTAACTGCTATTTAAACTAGGCTAAGCCCTCTGGCTCTTCCTGCTACAGAGTGGTCCACATCCCCGTGTGCCCCTCGCACAGGGTGTTGTCAGGACAGGCATCCTCCTTCCCCCAGGAGAGGCTAGACAAAGCTTAGCTGGACCCAGAAAGCATCCTGATATAGGAAGCAGTTTCCTAAGCAGATGAATTCTGATGGATGTTTAATCTGGACACACCCCAAAATCTTCCTGTAGGTACCCCTAAAGCTACAGGAAGCCATCAGGGCTTACTGCATCAGCTTGAGTAACCTCCCCCTGCACACCTGCAGATGTGGAGGGTCAGACAGAGTAGGCACATTTGGCCTTTGTCTGGGCTCTGCTCCCTCTGTCCTTTTAGGCAAGTGGTGTGCAGCCAGGGAACACTTGGGAAGACAAGGGTTCCTGGGCTCCCTTCTCTTTTGGTCTAATTCATTTTTGTGGTACACAGGGGATCCAGCTCAAGATGGTGATGGAGTATTGGACAGGGTGGTTCCTGGGCTCCCTTCTCTTTTGGTCTAATTCATTTTTGTGGTACACAGGGGATCCAGCCCAAGATGGTGATGGAGTACTGGACAGGGTGGTTTGACTCATGGGGAGGCCCACACAATATCTTGGATTCCTCTGGTAAGTGTCTTGCTGTGCTGACATGCAGCATGTATGCTGAGCTGAAAAGTAAGAACGCGTTTCAGATAACCTGCCAGCTGATGTGTGGAGCTGGAGGGTGCAAGGCTGCTGGGATTATGTGTGGTAACACACAGTTCCTCGTATTCCTGTCACTGGACTTGGCATTTGGAGTGAATGGCAGTGCTTTTTCACATTGATTTTGAAGGGTTTTTAATTAAGTAATGTGTGCCTAGTGCAGGTGTCTAGAAAATAAAGAAAAAAATATGGCAAGTGATAAAAGTAGCAAGAAGAAATTTAAAAAAATACAGAGTGTTTCTCAGGGCCAGAGAAAATATGTTAAGGAAGATAGTACACACAATTCCCTGTGCACCTCTATCTAAAAGTGTGTAAAGTGCACAGTAGATTCTGAGAGAGACACGTGTAGCCACTCTGCTGCTTGCCACCCGCTTGTGCCCTGTCAGTCACCCCTACAGACAGCTCTATACTACTCAATATAGATGTGCATCGCCATCTTGAAGAACTCCGTTGTGTCGATGGCTCAGCCACAGTGTGTGGCTTAGTCTTCCTGGTTTAGGCTGTTTCCAGTGGTCCCACTCATTGAAACCCACATCAGGGAGCACCTTGAACACCTGCCTGAACCCCTGGTTTATCATTTTCCTGTGATAAGTTCCACACAACACAACTGCTGGATCAGTGCAATTGTGCTACCTATGTTTACCAAATCACCCTCCAGAAAGACCATAGCTGTTTCCACTCACTGTTATTAAATGAGAATACAGATTTCCCACAGTTTATCCACACTGAGTATTAAAATGATTTTTAATACAAGCCAGTCTGATCCGTCACTGCAGTCTGCATTTCTTTGGTTTAGTTAATAAGGTACGTATTTATTAGCCATTGATTTTCTGCTTTGATGTTCTCTCTCCACATGGTTGGGTCGTTTCACATGTAGGTGGGATGGGGCAGTCGGTGCTGCTCTGACGACGTCTCCCACCTTGTTGCCGTTTACTAAGGGAGTAAGTGCTGGCTCTCAGGGGACACCTGTGCCACAGGGCATGCGTGTCGCGGTTGATGGACTTGACTGAGATCTCAAAACAAACGGGCCCACGCTCTGGGCCGCGTTAGAGCCGCTCCCACTCCTGCCTGGACCCTCCGTGTCTGACCAGCAGAGCAGTGAAGCTGCCTGAGCAGGGGCTGGGAAAGCGAGAGAAGCAGAGGCTCTTGGGCTCCGCTGGACCGCCGACGCGCCTCACACAGCACCCTTGTCCCCGTGTCGTGCAGAGGTTTTACAGACGGTGTCTGCCATCGTCGATGCCGGCGCCTCCATCAACCTCTACATGTTCCACGGGGGCACCAACTTCGGCTTCATCAACGGAGCCATGCACTTTCAGGAATATAAGTCTGATGTCACCAGCTATGGCAAGTGCTCCCCAATGCTGCCCATCCCTGGCCCGGCCCAGCATTCGCATGGCTGGAGCTTCCCATGGATAGTCCTTGGAGCACTGCCTCTGGCCCCTGTAATGGGTTTGGCTGTGAATACCTGGAGAAGGTAGGGCCTCGTCTGTATTGAAGGCAGTGGAGGCTGCAGCGGGTTGGTGGGCCAGTGAGCCACTCCTCTGCCCAGAGGCCTCTTTGGAAGGGGGGAGCCAGATGGAGGGGGGAGAAGGCTCAGCTTGAGAGTGTAGGGGACTACTCAGGCCCTAGCAGAGGTGTAGTCCCACCCCTGAGATTAGGAAAGAAGTCTCAGGTTGCACACCTCTGCCTGTCGCTGGAGAACCTGGGTCATGCCAGGATCCTGAGTAGCTTTTGCATTATTTTGCAGTTTTGGCTATCTGCAGCATTTTAATGCACTGGCTCACACTGGAAGTGTTTGCTGGGGTAAACATGCTAATGCCCTGCCCCAAACTTCCTCTCTTCTGTGTTTTTGTGTACATTTTGCTGGGGTCTAGCACAGTGCTGACAGACACACACACACACACACACACACACACACCCCGGCTACCGCCCTGTGTCTTGCAGACTATGACGCGGTGCTGACAGAGGCTGGGGACTACACAGCCAAGTACTCTAAGCTTCGGGACTTCTTTGGCTCCGTCTCAGGTACCCAGGAGACTGCAGATCCGGGCACCCCATTCGGCCCTTGCCTGTTACCTGCTCCCCCACCTCAACCCAGATGGCCTGTTTGCAGAGGCACCGTGGGCAATGGCAAGAAAGCTTTAGAGAGTCTGTCCTCATCACAGTTGGTGTCTTCTCAGCCCCAGCTTTGTATTCTGCAGGTGTAAAGTCCTTGTGGACATGACAAAGGCCCCGTCCCTCCCCCGAGTCACTGCCTGTTCTTATCAGCCCTGAAATGGGTCGGAGGCTGGGGCAGGGGTCCTCTAGGGGTGGTCCTGCCATTTCTGTGTTGCAGGTGTCCCTCTACCTCCACCACCTGACCTTCTTCCCAAGATGTCCTATGAGCCAATGACACCAGCTTTCTACCTGTCCCTGTGGGATGCCCTCCAGTACCTGGAGGTGAGTGTGGTGGGTGAGCAGAGCCCAGGAACCTCCAGATGCTGGCAAGAGCAAGGCCAGCCCTTACTTGAAGTCCTTTCTCCAGCCTCAGCACTTGAAGTGGGAAGAAGAGATTCCTGGTGGGGTCTGACGTGGGAAGGAGCAGAGCCTGCAGGAAAAAGGGACACTTGCCCCAGCAGAGGCACGCAGAGGGCGGGGCCCAGTCAGCTGGGCGCTGTGATGCACAAACGGTGGTGGCTTAAGGAGCTCAAAGCGACTCCGTCACAGGGCTGCACTGTTAGGACAAAGTCCTTTCTCCTGTCCTCTCATCCCTGTGACTCTGGTGACCATGGGATTAGTGTGAGAAGGCCGACTACAACAAAGGGTTAATGCTCCCTGCCTCCGTACCCCCCAGGGTGCTGCTCCCAGGACGCCCAAACCCCAGGGGAGGCCTATCTGCTAGGTTGCACCCCTAGAAGGCTCAGAGGTTAGCCCACTGCCCAGGGTGCCCCCCGCCCCCCGGAAGAGGCCCATTTGCTGTATCCCCAGAGGGCTTCGGAGGAAGTGGCTTTTCTTCCCTCTCATCCTGGTCCCTGTGTTCTGTGTGCAGCCCATCAGGTCTGAAAAGCCCATCAACATGGAGAACCTGCCGGTGAACAATGGGAATGGCCAGTCCTTTGGGTACATTCTGTATGAGACCGCCATCGCCTCTTCTGGCGTCCTCAGGGGCCTTGTGCGAGACCGGGGGCAGGTAGGCAGGGCACTAGGCCCCACATCGCACGTCTGACTCGCTGCCCACAGAAGCAGCCATTCCCTGTATGCAAAACTCTATAATGCCTGTCATTCCATGCCTGGCCACGCCCCCTGCTCCGCCCCCACATGCACACCCAGTGCCCGGGTCCCCCACCTGCCCTCTGTTGACCATGGCTGCCTTCTCTCTGTTCTCTCTGGCAGGTATTTTTGAACACAGTATCCATAGGATTCATGGACTATAAAACGACGAAGATTGTTATCCCCTTGACCCAGGTTTGTTACCCTCGGGAGCTGGGTGATGGCTAGCCCCAGCTGCTTCCGAGGAAGTGTGGTGGGAGTCCAAGAGGAAGACCGGTAACACAGCAGGAGGCTGTGTTACCACAAGCTGCAGCTGGAGAGGGGCTGCAGCTTTCTGACTGGCTGGGGCTCACTCCCGGCCTCAGAACTGGGGTCCAAACAAACCCTGAGGTGCAGCGGGGCCCTCGTGGCTGGGTCAGCATCGGCCGCTGTGTTCCTGGCAGGGCTTCGCCATGCTGAGGATCTTGGTGGAGAATTGTGGGCGAGTCAACTACGGGGACAATATCGATGACCAGCGCAAAGGTGGGTCCTAGCACAAGGCGAGAGGGCAGCTACCGGCCCTCCTCCACACAGCACATGGACAAATGGGTGGTGGAATCCCGGCAGAGGGTGGCGAGACAGGGAGGCTCCTTAGGGTGATGTGGGTCGTGGATGCACAGTGCAGAGAGGAGGGTCGTGGAGGCTCATTAGGAGAGGGGTTCAGGAGGTGCAGGAGGTCATGGACTCCAGTGGAGTGAGATGGGTGATGGGGGCCCAGTGGAGGAATGAATGGCTGTGGAGGCCCAGTGGAGAGAGAGGGATCCTAGAGGCTCAGAGGTGAGATGGATCATGGGGGCTTGGTAGAGGAGATGGGTTATGCAGGGCCAGTAGGAACTAGGTCACGGAAGCCCAGTGAGGAAGCTGAGTCAGTGAGCCCAGTGAAGGCAGGCGGAGGCTGGGCTCACTCACATGTGCACCCCTGGGTGAGTGGGCCAGAGAAGCCCTACTGGGTGAAGCCCTCTTCCCCTCGCGCCTTCCATGTGTACCGGCCATGTGCTTGTGATGAGCACACGGGGACCCTGAGCTGGCCCTCGGTCTCTCCCTGGCCTGCAGTCCACTGTAAGGGCTTGTGCTTGTGGGGGCAGTGAGGGAGGAGTGGGAAATGGGATTTCTGGGAACTCAGAAAAGGACACAGCCTTTTTGGGTCTTCACCCTGAATTTCTTTGCCGGGCCAATATCAGGAAACTCATAGTGTGTCTTCTGTGGAGAGCTGGAGGATACAGGGTTCATGACAAACAAGGTGCTTTGGTCTGCCTTCTTGGAATATCCCAGCCAATCACCGTATTCCTCCTGGCCTTCTAAATCTTTGTGCTGTCATTTAGCTCTTCCTTTTTTTAAAGTCGATGTAAATGTGGGTAGTGTCAGGTAAGTTATAAAACAGAACACAGATGTAAATCCTCTGTATTAGGGAGACGAGTGGCCTCCCAGTCTCTCCCAGCTGTTTACAGTTGCTATAGCAGAAACTCACACAGCTCCTCCTTGGTCAGTTCTGGAGCAAAACCTTCTGGTCACTTGCCAGGAAAACCACAGGGCCATGATGGTGGGGCTTCCTGTCCCTGCTTGCCTCTCAGGGTCTCAGCACCATGTGAGCTTCCTCACTGGCCAGTCTGACCCTCGCTCCCAGTCATTGGCTTTCCCAGGCCCCTCAAGTGTGTCTTGATCCCTCACTGCAGAGCCCAAGCCTCTGCATCACAGTTCAGGGTTTGTAAGCCACAGACCTCCCCTTCAGAAAAAACACGAGCCTGCTGGAGACAGCCCTCTCAGGTTCCACAGCCTCTCCACATCCCCCTGGAGAAACTCAGTGGCTCTGGAGGGGAGAGCATCATGGTCGTGCCCCAGAACCCACAGCCCTGGCCAGGCCCAGGGCACTAATGAGTCACTGCTCAGGTGTGCATACTCCCTCCGTGTTGGATCCCCGTGTGATACTGTCATCTGTCAACGTCAAGACTCTAAGAACCTATGCTTAATCCCAGGACACGGGGGTGACTTCTGACTATCAGGTCAGAGATATCACTGACACTAGGCCAGAACCTCCGTGACCCCGTGGCCCTCTGAGCTTCCCCTCCCCCACCCCCAGAGGTCAAAGTCTGTTCTTGCCCCGTGACATTTCAGCTCCGTCACTGTCCACGGACATGTCCTTTCATGGCGAATAATGGCCTTCCTCATTCTCGGCCCCTCTGGGATGTCCAGGGAGGTTTTTTTTTTCACCCCTCAATGAAGATCCCCTTGGGCAATGCACACTTGAGGAGCAATCCTCACAGGAACACTCCAGGGATTTTCATACATGACCCCAGCCACCCCAGGTCAGCTGCCCCCCCGGGCTTTAGGCTTGCTCAGGTTTTCTTGTCTCCTTCCCTCAGGCTTAATTGGAAACCTCTACCTGGATGATTCTCCCCTGAAGAAGTTCAAAATTTACAGCCTGGATTTGAAGAAAAGCTTCTTTAACAGGTGAGTCCCTGCCCCATGGCAGTGTGTGAGCTCACAGGCCATGCATGGCAGGAGCCAGGAGGGCCCAGGGCAGGCTCGGACCACTTGCCAGGATCCTGCAGGTGCCCACAGTGAGGGGCGGTAGCAGAACGGAAACCCCGTTTGTTCAGGCTTGAGGCTACACATTATGCCTCTGTGCTGCTGTGCTCTGCCCTGGTTAAGATGGGAGGCCTTGGGGTTCCTGGATGGGAAAGGCATGGGCCTGCAGAATCCAGTGTGAACTTCCCCACGCCTCTCTTTCCTTAGGTTTGGTGTTGACAAGTGGACACCTGTCCCAGAAGTACCCGTGTTCCCAGCTTTCTTCTTGGGTGGCTTGTCGGTCAGCCCCACTCCTTTAGACACCTTTCTGAAGCTGGAGGTTTGTAGCTCCCCTACTCCGCCCCCATTTTCCTGGCCCTGGTTCTCTGTCTTGTCAGAGAGCTGAGTCAAAAGCCACTGTGTGTAGCCTGGCAGGCCCTGTCTTTAGGTTGCCCTGTCTAAGGGGCCTCTGGGGTCACCTGGGGTTGTTCTCAGGGCCCAACTTCCTACATCCAGTCTGCACGTGGGTGCCCTGCCTGAGGGGTCAGAGCTGGCGGCAATGGGAGGAAGACACCGTCCTCATGATCATCCACACATAGGCTCACTTTGGTCTCCAGGCAGCTGAGAGAATGCATGGTTTGTGTCCCAGCTGTGTCTCTGCTGTCTGGTACCTGTACTTGGTGGCTTTCATGGTTGACCAACCCCTTCCCTCCTCTCTCTGAAGGGCTGGGAGAAGGGTGTCGTATTCATCAATGGCAGAAACCTTGGACGCTACTGGAACATTGGGCCTCAGAAGACCTTGTACCTTCCAGGTGTCTGGCTGGACAAGGGCATGAACCAGGTGGGCACACTTCCAGCTTCCTACCTTTTTCCCCGTGACTTCTTCCCATCCCTGTCCTCCTTGGCATCAGCATGTTTCCCTGGGGGACTGGGTAGATGCTCAGCCAGCTGCCTCCTCTCCCATCCTTGGCGCCTGTTCTTCCTAGCTCCAGCCTAGCTGCTTCACAGCCCCCTCAGCGGGCACCAGAACAAACCTCAGCTGCTCTCCTACTCCAGCCCTTCTCTCCTGCAGGTCATCATTTTCGAGGAGGTGGTGTCAGGCCCCATGATCCAGTCAACTGATATCCCCCACCTGGGCAGGAACCAGTACATTATCTGAGCTGCAGCCCCCAGCACCTCCTGCAGGGGCAGCAGCCGCTCAAAGCCAGGGGGCTGCTTGCTCACACCTGCCCTGCAGAGGGCAGTGGCCTTCAGTAGCAATCTCAGGGAGCCATGGGGCTGCAAGTCTGTCTCTGGCCCAAGTTCAAACCCTAAACCTAGGAGGACTGAAGAGAAGCGTTGGGTGGCAAGCAGGCCAGGCTCTTCTGGGAGAGCCAGAAGGATGTCTCCAGAGGGTGGGCATGTACAGTCCTGCGGCCATGGGAGGAGTTCCTGGGGCCCTCAGAAAAGACACTGGAGCTAGTTGGGCATTAGCTCCCATCCCGGAAGCCAGAGCCTTGCTGGCCAGTCTGCTGGACACAGGTATGCTCTTTGAATGTTCTGATGGGGCTGGGCCACATCCACATGACCTCGATTCGGTCCTGAAATAGTGGGTTTGTCACCGTTTGTAGAGGATAGCAAAGGAGTGGGCTTTGAGTTGACTTAGCTCTTCCTTCACAACCCTCCTCGAGCCTTCTCTGGGATTCTGGAAGAATCTGAGAAACACCTGGTTCTCACAGGATGACAGGTGCGGCTGAAGAGAACAGACACTCAGCCCCTGCCTGCCCTCAGCTGCAGAAGGGCTTCCAGCCATGCTCAGTGGGGCAGGCGGCGGCAGAGGGACGCGAATCCCAGCACAAACCACACCCTGTGTCTGCATGTCAGGGAGGGGAAGGGCAGAGGCCCCACCACGTGGCACTGGGCACGTGGCCCACCAGGAAGCTTGGGGAAGCCACGGAGCCCACAGGCCTTCTCCAGGTCTTGCCTCCACCCCATGACCCAGCCACAGGGGGAAAGGGAGCTCTCCATCGCAGTGGTCTCCCTGTCCAAATGGGAGGCTCTTGCTCTGGGGATCAAAGGCTATGGTTTGGCTCAGGTTTGCTGTCCTAAAGTGCAATAAAGCAATAGTGTTGAATCAAACTCGCCGATCTTGGTCTCATCTGGTGCCCTGAAGTAGAAGAGAAGGCAGTGTGGGCAGGGCGCTCACAGCCTGGCTGGGGCTCGAAGATCCATGCCCTGCCTGGCCATGTGGGTGGGTGGTGCATGCCCCTAGCTTCTCACTGCCCTCCTGCCCTTGATTCCCCATGAACTGTCTCTGGAGTGGAAGTGGCCCTGAAGAGGAAGGATCAAATACACAGCACTGTTGTGCCGGTGGCCACAAATGAGAATCTGCTGAACACCTAGGAGCGCTCCTGCGTTAGAGTCAGCCCTGGGCTGAGGTTTTCTTCACAAAGAACAGCAAACTTCTACAGCCCCACACTCAGTGGTCTTCAGGGACAAAGGGAAGCAGCACCCCTTGCCCCAGAACCCTGAAAAGCAGGGTTAGGGAAGAGTGGGGTGAGGGCTTTCAGGCTGACAGACCGCACCTGCTGTCTGTGTTGCTGACAGTGAAGTCCCTGATGGAGACGTTCATGGTTTGCAGCATCAGAGCCAAGAGCTCAGCCAGGCCAAGGGCAGAGAACGAGACCTTCTTAGTAGCTGGGAGCAAGACAAAGGCAGAGTCCCTGGTACTGCCCCCACTTAGCAGCAAGATGTGGAAGCACCAGGGCCACCTGGGGCAGGCCTGAGCCCAGGGGCGGCGGCGCTCGTTCTTGCCCTCAGTAAGTGACCTTCTCGGAAGCTGTGTGTAAAGTGGATTCTGTTTAAGAAAGTTGTGGGTAACTGAACTTTAAGGACAGCTGACAGTGACCCTTTCTAAGTGAAGAATTGTGTCAAGTGTTGCTTTCATGCAACCTGAGCAGGAATGCATTGTGTTTTTTTTTTTTTTTTTCCCAAGGCAAGGTCTTCCTGTTCCAGCGTCCCATTGTTGGCTTTCTTACCTGAGTTAGCCCTGCAGCTTCTGTAGCAAAGCAGCTCTGGACAGCGCTTGTTCTCCAGGCCACCATGGGTGCTGGGGGTCTCGGCCCACTCGCTGGGCCTCTCCTTTCCTCTATGCACACTCAGTGCACGAGGCTTATCTGTGAGACCCATCTTGACCCATGCAAGCTGCAGGTGCACAACAGGTGTCTAACTCTGGTTCCCTCACGGTACCTGTCCTACACTCTGTCCCGTATCAGAAATGGCTGCTTCATTCTGCCGACCTCTGACTAGTCTCTGTATCCTACACCCAGTGCATCAGCAAATCCTCCTGGCTCCACCTCCTTAGCACATTCAGAATTCTGCCACCTCTCTCTGCCCCAGAGCTTGTGCCCTTGCCCTGCCCACCATCATCCCATACTCGGACTGGTGTGCAAGCCACTTCCTGGCTTGCCCGTTTCAGGGTGGTTCTCCCGCAGTGCCAGGTAGGTCACATGCACCCTCAGCAGTGAGCCCCCCAAGGCTCTCCCGTTGCACCCAGAGCAGAAGCCGTAAGCTTTAACCTAGTTTCTGGGACCAGCACATTTTGGGCTTTCCCATCCGCCACCTGCCTCACCTGCACTGCTGCCTCCCTTCCCTTGTCCCGTCAGCCACCTGTTTTGCTGGTCTCTGAACACGCTGAATGCTCCCAACCTTGGAGAGTGTTCTGTCCTCAGAGTGGCTCAAAGAGCTCGTGCTGGGGCCCGTCGTGCTCAGATGCTCCCTTGCCAGGGAAGCGTCTGAACACCTGTGGGACACCAGCCCCTCTGCAGAGCCACAGTGTCTCCCCGCACCGCTCCCTTCTCCAGATACCACATCCATGGCACCATGCGCTGGTGTGCTGTTCCTCTCCTCTGGGTGCCGGCGAGCTCCAAGGGGGCCAGGGGTTCACTCTCTCCGTGCTGAGCTCTAGCCCTTAGGACGATGCCTGCTCTGATAGACGTTTGCACGATGCGTTAATTAATAAAGGAGAATCAAATAAGGTGGCTATAAAGGGGATTAGGACTGTTAAAAACCATATTTGACTTTTAATTTTGAAAACAAATGCAGTTAAATTAAAACAGACCAGATGGCTCGGCTGCCTGGCCTGCAGCCTCACCCCGGCCCCCGTTCTCAGGACTTAATCCCACCCTGGCCTGGCTGCTCCGGGGGGCTGGCCAGCAAACAAGACTCTTAACAAAACGTATTCCCAAAAAAGATGAAGGCTGCAGTCCACCAGGGTTATAATTATAAATAAATATACATGCAGCTAAGAGAGGGTGTTAGGTGAAAACAAACAAAAAAACTGAACTAGCATCTGCCCCCAAAATAAAAAAAAGTCCCCATTTTTTTGTTCATCATCAACTTCGTGAAAATGAGCCCTGGGATTTTGGCTAATAGCAGTCCCCAGACCAGCCACACCGACCCCGACATTTAGGGCTGGTGTCCAGCAGGGAGGCAGTGGAATGCCCTCACCTGACCTGTGTCCCCTGCCACCCTGCTTGACTTCAAGGGGTCGCCCAAAGGGTAAGAGGTTGGGAGCACTTCCTGGAGGTGGCTCAGGGATTGCTTCCCCAGGGGCTTTCACGAGCACTGTGGGAAGCGACGTCCATTTCCAGATAGGCAGCCAGTGCTACATTTCAGTGTTAAGGTCTCGACTGAGTCTTACCCAGGGCCGGTTCTGCGTGGACCTCAGAGCTGACTGTGAGCTTTAATGCGGTGGGGGCTGTTAGCAGTTAAAAAATAAACACCTCTTTCACAGGCTCGGGCCCTTTCCTTCTCCTCTGTTTAGAGGAAAATTGTGCTTCCGGCTCAGGGCACGAGCATGATCACCACCAGAAGGCCCGGCTGGGTCGGGAGCCAGAGACCCCCTGTCAGCCTGGGAGCCCTGGGGAGCTGCTTTCCCTAGGGCAGGCAGCAGGACAGGAGACGGGGAGCAGTGAGAAGTCCTTCCCCAGTTTGTGTGTAAATAGAATGATTCCCAAAGCAACGTGTGCTCAGCCTCCTTCTCCTTCATCTCCTGCCACCACCCCCCGCCCCGTTCCCTAAATCCTTCTACTATCCTCGAACCCCCTCCCTCCATTTCAGGGGGCAGGAAGGGGTCGGAGAATTGCCTGCCTCACCCCCACAGGCTAGAGCTCACCACCTTGCCCACCACCCACTCCAGCCCTGAGGTCTGCAGTTCTCAAGATTTACAGGAAGAGGGTGACCTCTCCCAGGCCCAGTCCTGGGCAGCTCTGCGCCCCAGGGGCAGTGGGGAGGCAGTGTGTGGACAGAGGGGTCCTGTGGCTCTTAGTCCAGGTCAGTGGACCTGCGCTGGCTCTGTGCCCACCTCCTTGCCAGTGCTGGAGGAGAAGGCTGGAGGGAAGGTGGCAAAGGAGGGGACTACACTCCTGCCACAGCTTGAGGTACAGGGGGAGCCTGCCGGCAGGCCAGGGTGCCCCCATGCAGGGCTGGGTGTCTGTTGGGATCAAAGACAACCATATGCTCTGTAAACATGAACCAGAGGAGAGCCAGAGAGGTGTGTCTGACTTGGGAGCAGCTCTTGGGTAGAGCAGGTGTGGAGGAGGGGGTGGGGCGTGTGGGACGCCCAGTGGTTGCTCTCTGGTCTTCAGAATTCCCTGGCTGGGAGTCCTGGGTGGTCGTGCTAAGGCCCCAGACCATGGGGTCTTTTCACCTCCCTCCCAAACCTGCATCACTCTAGGACATCCGTTCAGGAAGCTTCTGACAAGCCTTGTGCCGGCTTTGCTGCTGCCGGACCCTCGGCCCTTGTCTCTGGGGCCGCTGGTTGGGGCGGGTGGAGAGGACAGCAGGTCTGGGATTTCTGTGCTTGAATTCTCTGTCCTGGCATCAGGCTGCACTCTGGAACCCCCAGAATACAAAGGAGGGTGACGGTGATTCCTTAGGAGTCTGCCTTGGGGGGACCATCAGCCATGGAGAAAGGGCGGAAGGCCGAGAATGGGGTCTGAGAAGGAGGCTCCTGTGGGGGAGAGGAGGGACAAGTGAGGGAATGGCTGGTGTGGCCAAGGAACTCAGTCCTGACCCTACCATGGCCCCAGCCCCCAGGGTCTGCAGAGACTCGGTTGAGAGGAAGGCAGGGGCGAGGCTCTGCTCCGGGGCCTCCGAAGTGGGCACTGGCCAAGGTGACTTTCTAAGTTCAGAGGACAGATTAGGTCGTGTGACACCCTGCTGTCTCCTGTGGTCAGATCCCACTGTCCAAGCGCCCACCTCTACCTGGAATGACCTAGCACAGAGAATCTGATCTACGGAGTGCTGTCAAGGGGCAGGGCACGGTCACAGAAGGCCTCCGGGACACGCCTGGCATGGCCCGTCACCCGCACAATTTACTTGTGCCAATGCATCAACCATGGAAAAGCCAGCCAGCTTTGTCTTTACCTGTGAAATGTGGTAGCTCCTGAGACCTACTTCCACGGAGGCCTTTTCTGATGCAAATGAAAGTAGCAACACGTTTATAGGACTTAGGTTGTGCCACAGACTGTTCCCAGTGCCCTCGATGACCCATTTTACAGATGAAGGAAATGAGGCACACAGAAGTAAGGTCCGACATGGAGGAGTCGCAGGCCTGGCTCCCGTGCTTTCCCCTCCTGCTGCCCTCTGACCGCTGAGAGTCACGTTTGTGCTGATGTGCAGCAGTGACTGGTTCTTGTCACAGTGGTGACTGGAGGCAAGTCCAGAGGGCACGCGGCAAACTTAGGAGGACAAGGAGCCTGGAGAGTGAGCAGGAGTCTGAGCAGCAGTGCCCCCTGCAGTGGCCTGGGTGCCAGGGCCAGCACAGCTATGACCATGGGAGGCGGTGTGGGGGGTGTTCAGAAGTGTGGGGTGGCAGAGACCCAGCCATGCGGGTGAAAATGGGCACCTGTTAACTTTAGAATGGCCATGCCTCTTCCACTCTTGCCCACGTTTTGTGTGCCTGACCACCCACAACTCAATTAGAGAGGAAAATCCCCCGGGGCATTGAGGCTGTGTCCTAGCCTGGTGTCACCCTGCCCTGCTCCTCACCCACCCAGGTCTGCCCTCCTACCTGTGTCCAAGGCTCAGATCTCCACCGAGGGGTCAGTGAAGCCCTTCTTCCCCTCATTCACCAGCACGGGCTTCTCTGTCCGCGTGTGCCAGACCAGGATCTGTGTGTCCAGAGGCACAGAGCAAAGTGGGCATCTTGTCGACCACTAGGCTACCTCCTGCTCCCTCCCACACCCTGCAAGTATGTCTTTTGCCGCCTTCTATTCCACCTTCTTCCCATGAAGATTTTTTTCAGTTCTGTATCTCTACATACCCCTCAATCTTGCTGTTTGTACATGTGGTGTATTCAAAATATTTGTTGATGGGTGAGCATACATACAGTGGCATCCAAATCCCATATTAGAGTGCCTGGGTTTGAACCCAGGCTCCTCCCTTCATTCTAGCTTCCTGCTGAGTGCACTGAGACAGGTGATGGCTGAAGCCCTTGCTGTTACAGGCATTTGAGGAATGAACCAGTGGATGGGATACCTCTCTGTCTGTCTCTGTCTCTCTCCCTCTTCTTTTCAAATAAATAAAGTAAATAAAAACTAAAAAACCTTTTGGAAACAGGTAATCTAGAGCTACAGAAAATAGACAAGTCCCAAGATTTCCTCTGTGTGTGTGTGTGGACGTGTAGATAGGTGTTGATGCACCTGTGAGCACAGGTGCACATGTGTATGTGTACATGTCCCTGAGTGCTCAGCAGGGAGGTGGTGGGGCACAGCTATTCTGGGGGCGGGGCAGCAGTCCTCGGTTGTGACTCCCTGATGACTACACCTCCCCATTTCCCTGCCTGCCTCCATTGTGAACACCTTACAGGTGGTAAACTCCCTTCCCCGGCAGGAGTCTCAGAAGGTGTCTGATCTGTGAGGAGGGTGGAGACAGGCTTGCGAGTGCGTGCGTTACAGCAGTCAGTGCTGCAGAGGCTCATACCTTGGTGCAGTTGGCTGCCTTGGGCTCCAGGTCATTGAGGGTGACAAGCTCTCGGAGGAGGCTGCTTTCCTGGTAGCCTCCCTTCACTCCACGGAGCTTGAAGTAAGCCTGGCTTCGCTGCAGAATGAGCCGCAGGTTGACTGCAAATCCAGCCATGTCTATTGCAAATGGTCGGTGGGGGTCGAACACAGTCTTCCAGCCAACCACCTTCCCTGCCCCGTTCACCCGTGGGGCCTCGTACCGAAGGCCGCCAACGAAGGCCACGGGCCACACGGACACCCTCCTGGTACTGCGCATCTACAAAGGGGGTCCAGAGTCAGCACATCTGGGTCTGCTGGGCAGGAATGACACCCATCCACTTAATGAGCTTTGCCTCTGGGCCATCGGAAGCCACAGGGGGTCTGGCCCTGCCTGACGACTCATCGTACATATGGGCACCTGCAGCCAGACCTGTCCTAGGCTCGGGCAAAACCAGACCTCTCAGACCTCAGCAGGACCCAGTTGCCCCGTTCTCTCTCCTGGACAAAACCTCTCATCTTCCCACTTGTGAGTCTGAAACAGCTCCTCCCCCACCCACCCACACAGATGGCCCATAAACTCAAGCTATGCCACCAAAGAGATCTATGGGGGAGCTACACCCAAGGGCCGCATTCAGACAACACCTGGAGGCTGGCCACTGGTTTGGACGCTCCAGACACCGCCTATCTACCCTTTCACCCACCAGCCAGGATGCTTCAACCTGCATGAGGATTCCTATCCATCTCCCTGCTTCTCTGCTCTCTGCGCGGCTGCAGCCTGGCCGCACTGCCTGGGCTTACGTTGTCCATATGTAGCTGCACCCACGACAGCCTAGGGGAGCCCACCCCGCATCCACCGATGCGCTTCAGCCCCTGTCACCCCCACCCCGCACCTCCTCAAAGAGCTCCAGGCTGTAGGTGTTGTCATCATCTGCGAAGTACACCACGCCGGGCTGACTGGAGTTGCGCGGGAAGGTCTCCCGCAGCCAGCGTAGGGCCAGGTTGCGCTGCATGGTGCCCCGAGGGATGCGGGGATCGCGGGCGTCGCCCCGGAGCTTGTAGTTGCGGGGCGTCTCCACGTGCAGGTGCGTGTAGTTGAGGCCCGTGTCGCGCAGCAGGCGTGCGGTGAGCGGCGTGCGGCGCGGCGCGTCCTCCACCACCAGCCAGTGCAGATTGGGCACGTGCAGCAGGGTGTTCGCCATGCGCGTCAGCTCGGCCTTCTGCACCGGGCGGCTGTAGGTGGGCGTCACCACGTGGATGGTGGGCAGCGTGTCAGACCACGGCGGGGGCCGCGTGTACACGTATTCAGTGCGCACCACCTCCACGATGTCGCGGTCAGACATGCAGTACTCTCTGGGGTCTGTGCCCGGGGGCGCGTCGTGCCGGGGCTCAGTGCCCTCATCTGCAGAATTGGAAGACAGGCCATGTGGGAGGAGACACCGGGTGCAACCTCCCCAGCCCCTGCCAGGCCGCCCCTCCCCAGCGCCTCCTCAGGCCTGAAGCCAGTCACTCCTGGAGTTAGCACTAAGTTGAAATCTCCATCCTTGGAATTCTCAAGGAATTTCCCTCTTTCTGACTCCAGGGATCCTCCTCCTCACTCCCTCCTGCAGCTGGCCATACTTCAGATAGCATCCTCAGGTCCTAATACACTGGCTGTCACACCCCCCTCATCTGCATATGAACATCGCCCTGCTCTGTGTCACTGAGACCACAAAACCCAGGACCCCATTAGGGTTGCAGTGGCTGGACTGCACTGTGGCCCTGGGAGGAGCCTGAGGCTGGCTCCACCCTCTGATCAAGGGGGGCCCTCCTCTCCCAGCCATATATCATCAATTCTTGGAATCTGGGTGTGGAACCTAGTCTTTAACCACTGCATTTTGTTGCAGTGGGTTCCTGCCCATCATTGTCAAGGTCGTTCTGAATCCTGAATCTCCCATTCCTGACTTTGCATAACCCTCTAGTTTGCCATGCACAAAAGGACAGGATGGAAATCTGTCGAAGCTCTCCTGTGGGTTTCGTGTCCACCTCTTCCTCGGTGCTTCCTGGACACTCATGGGCCTTCTGTGGCACAACGCCACTGACCCTGCCTGCCCTGGCACCCAGCTGTATTCACCCAGAGGCCCTAGGACGCCACAGGGGGCAGTGAGTGACACATGGAGAAGCCTGGTCTCCAGCCAAGCACTCAGGTGTGGGAAGTCTGACTTCCTGGAGGCAACCTGCTCCAGCTGACCAAAGACGTCTTCACATGTTGGGCATTGTGCTCCCTGGGAACCCCGCAGTCCTATCACAGGATGAAGTCAGGGCCTTTGTATTCATGTTTTCATGGGCCCCTTCCTATTCGTCAGGCCCTCTCACTACCCACGATGGTGTGGCCCTTGCTGTTGTCACGCTCTCTCAGTCGGGGTGGGCAGCTGCTAGTGGCTAGACAGCAGCCCGGGAATCAGTGTCTGGGCTCAAACCGCGCCCTTCTGTCATTACTAACTGTACGCCTGTGAGCCAGTCACTCGGCCTCTGGCATCTTGATTCCAGCAGCTGTAGAATGGAGCTCACAACAGCATCTAACGTTATCGAGTTACTATGTGGACTGGGCAAGGACTCAGAGCACCGCCAGGCAGAGTTACCATCCCTTGCTCATGTGTGGAAGGGCAGTAGCCAGCCCTACTAGATCTCGGCTCCATGGGGCTATGGTAAGGATGAAATGAACATCTGGGCGGGTTGGAGGGAGATCCCGGACTTGGGTTGTGTCGGGTGCTTCTGTGAAGTCTGATACGGCTGAGCACAGCACAACACCAGCTCTCACTTGTGGCGAGTGCCCATGGAGCAACGTCACAACCAAACACACAGTAACAGCAGGAGCATTGCCCAGGCTGACAGGTGATGCTGGGGGCATGGGGACGAGGCTTGCAAAGACATAGCTGCTCAAAGGTGACTTTTTGGGGGAGTTTCTGAGTCAGACAGTGAAAAGAGAACAACATTGAGAAAAGAGGGATCGGTGCTAGGATTATGACCCAGACGAAAGGTTGCATTTTTCTTGTGATCAGGGAGGCTTTGGAAACTGAGACCCGAGGAGACTGAGAGCCATTTTGCCCAACTCTCTGCTACCTAAGTCAGCCCACACAGGCAGAGAACCTGTGTTCAGGGAAAACTCTCCCTGTGTTAGGACAAGTCCACAGCCCAAGCTCTGTCCTTCCTATGGGTGTCAGGCTTCTGCAGCCTTGAATGGTAAAGGCTTCATGGTGCCCGGGGCTAGTTGTGTGACACAGTGGATAAAGCCACTGCCTGTGATACCGGCATCCCATACGGGCACCAGTTCAAGTCCTGGCTGCTCCACTTCCGATCCAGCTCCTTGCTTGTTAATCCTCCACTTGCAGTGCTGGCATCCTATATGGGAGCCAGTGCAATTCCTGGCTGCTCCACTTCTGATCCAGCTCTCTGCTATGGCCTGGGAAAGCAGTAGAAGATGGCCCAAGTCCTTGGGCCCCTGCACCCACGTCGGAGACCCAGATGAGGCTTCTGGCTCCTGGCTTTGGCCTGGCCCAGCCCCCCAGACATTGCAGCCATCTGGGGAATGAACCACTGGATGGAAAATCTCTCTCTGTGTCTCTCCCTCTCTTCCTAATGCTGACTATGCTTTCAAATAAAGAAATAAATCATTTTAATAAAGATTTTTATTTACTTATTTGAGAAGTAGAGTTACAGACAGTGAGAGGGAGAGACACAGAGAAAGGTCTTCCATCCACCGGTTCACTCCCCAAATGGCCACAATGGCCAGAAACGGGCCAATCCAAAGTCAGGAGCCAGGAACTTCTTCTGGGTCTCCCATGTGGGTGCAGGGACCCAACCACTTGGGCCACCTTTCACTGCTCTCCCAGGCTATAGCAGAGAGCTGGATTGGAAGTGGAGCAGCCGGGACTAGAACTGGCACCCTTATAGGATGCCAGCACCACAGGTGGAGGATTAACCCACTGCACCACAGTGCCGTCCCCTAAGGCTTCCAAGAGCCCTCACTACATCCTACTGCAGCTTTCCTTCCCTCCCTCCTGGCCTGCTCTGGAGACAGAGGCCACATCCTCATCCTCCAGCAGTAACGTCAGTGCTTAGCAAAACAGCCAGATGCCTTCTGTCCTAGAACTCCACCAAGAAGGTGATTGACTGCTTTATCTATAGTACTAACCCCTCTGGAATGATGTATGTGCAGGATAACAATGATTCTAAACTGACAAGCCCGAAGAGAGGCGTTGGAGTTGGGAGGAGAGACTGATGCTAGATAGAAAGGCCTTGAGCCCAGCACTGGGCAGCGGGGATGTCTCAATCTTGAGCTGCGCCCTTCCTTGTGGAGGCTTCAGAAACTGTTGGGGTTTGGAGGACCTGGCATCTAACCCTGTAGGGCAGCACAGCCTGAGGCTGTGGGTTCCTGGAGACAGTCTGCATCCAAGTCACATGTGGCTACAGGCCATAAGCCCCATCCCAGCCCTGCCATCCACCTCTCACTGGGATGAGCTCCAATGCCTTCATATTTTAACTCCCCAGGTAAGGTGAGGCACACTGCAATGAGAAAACTGCTGCCTGCCTGGAAGTGTTGAACCTGCTTGTGTGGGGAGGCTAAGGAGGAAGGGGCAACCAGATATGGTCACACTGGATGGCTGGGGGTCATGGGAGCATGGATGCAAGAGGGAACGGCAACCTCAGGACTCAGAGCCAGGAGGGGGCAGTTCTACCCCCAGTGCTTCCACTGCTGCTTGCAAGTCTTTTTCTTTCTCCAAATCTACTTCCACCAGGTAAGCCTAAATCAGGGTTTCCTAAGCAAGAAAAGAGGAGCGAATAGGAGGTGTTAGGGTGCAGTGGATTAAACCACCATTGAGATGTCTGTATCCTTTATCAGAGGGCCTGGGATACGGTCCCACCTCCAGCTCCAATCCAGCTTCCTGCTTATGCTCCTGGGAAGCACTGGATGACAGCCCAAGCTGTTGGTTCCCTGCCACTCACATGGGAGACCCAGATGGAGTCTCTGACTCCCAGCTTCAGCCTGGCCCAGCCCCAGCTGTTGTAGACATTAGGGGAATGAGCCAGCAGATAGAAGATCTTTCTGTGTGTCTGTCTCTCCCTCTTTATCACTCTGCCTTTCAAATAAATAAATATTAAGAAAGAGAAAGAGCGAGAAGCAAACAATATGCCCTCTTCCAAAGGTTTACAACACCATTCAGTTCAGAAACCCTTCCACTCCTTGGGTGTCTTGAGATCGAATGCAATGTCACTGATCATGTGTTCTCTTTAATGTATGTATGTATGTATGTATTTGAAAGGCAGAGAGAGAAGGAGAGTGAGAGGGAGAGGGAGAGAGAGAGAGAGAAATCTTCCATCTGCAGGTTCACTCCCCAATTAGCTGCAATGGCCGGAGCTGCACCGATCTGAAGCCAAGAGCCAAGAGCTTCCGTCAGGTCTCCCATGTAGGTGAAGGGCCCAGGGACTTAGGCCATTTTCCACTGCTTTCCCAGGCCACAGCAGAGAGCTGGATCAGAAGTGGAGCAGCCAGGACTTGAACCCGCGCCTACAGGGATGCCTGCACTGCAGGCAGTGGCTTCACCTGCTACACCACAGTGTTGGCCCCGTTGTGTTCTCTTTTATAAATATTTTCTATTGTATGGTGTTTTGACACCTTGAGGCCTTGAGGACTCAGGGAAGGACTGCATCATCCCAGTGCTAACTGCTAAGCAACTATCCCACAAAGACATCTTTTGCAGGTCAACCACCCAATCCAAAGTGCACACCACATCACCTCCTTTATGGAACTTCCACATCTTTCCTTGCCCTAAACGGCATTACTCAAACTCTCCAATTCAAAGCCCATTCAGCTGGTCACTGTGCCTCTCTTTCCTTCCTGCCAAAACAACACTGCCTCCACTGCCTCCTGCCTCCTGACCCACCCAGTGCTTTCCCAGTGGTCCAGCTGGGCCAGGTGTACCATCTTCTGTTCGGAACCAGGAGTAACAAGCTCTCCTTTGCAGGCGATTGTCCCAGTTGCTACCACCTGCCATCTCTGCTTCAAACAGGTCCCAGTACATCTTGGAACAGTGTAGCACCTATCAGATTCCCACACGGGACCAAGGCCCCGAAACGGGCCAAGCTGCTTGGTGGACAAAAAGAGGACCTGTCCATGTTAGCTGGGGTTGTGCTCATTACGGGAAGCTGGGCTGGGGGCAGGCAAGCTCACCCTTGTGCACGGTGAGTAAGGGCGCGAGGGTGCTCTGGTGCCAGACGGTGATGAGCAGTGTCCAGGGCAGCACGATAAGGACGATTGCAAGGATGTCCCGTCTTTTCGGCATCTCCAAGGCTGGCTGCACCCACAGCTCCTCATTACCTGAGTGGTGGTAAAGTCAGGAGCGGGCAGCCACGGGGCAACGGCAGCAGCACAGGGGAGAAAAGAACAGGCATGGGCTGGCCGGCCAGACACGGAGAGAACAGAGAAGCTGAAGGCTGGCTAGCAGGTCTTACCAGCACTCACAACCCACCCATTGCGGAAGCAGGTTTGCAGGCTCCGGCCCGACTGGAGTCTGAGAAGGGGCAGCTGTCCAGGAGTGGGATCAGGAGCCCTGGGAGATGGACACCTGTAAGAGAGAGCAGAGGAGGATGGCCAGAGACCAGAGCACAAGGGGTGGATGCCCAGCAAGTGCCCAGCCCTGGTCTGGGACACACAGCACAGAGGACAGGGGCTTCCTAACTGCACGCCCACCTCCTGGGGTCCTCTTCTGTCTGCCTGTGACACACAGGCACAGAGACGTGGAGCCAGACCAGTTAGTAGTAGGGTCCAAGGCACAGGTTTCAGAGACGCCTGTCTTGGCAACTCTGCCATCCACAAACTATATGACTGCTGCAATTTTCTTGTGTACAAAATAGGTACCATCAGCCCCTCTTTCACAATTCTCAGAACTAACAGTTAGTGCCCAGAGAGCCCTTAGGATGACCCTTGACACACACAATTGCACAATAAATGTTAGATGCTATAATGTCCAAATGTTTGGGCCCAGATGAGTTTTTGTTTTTCATTGTCTGGATATAGGGGGTCAAAAGTGGGAGGTCTCTTTTGAGGATGGAGCCCCTGGGAGGAAATGCTGTGACTGCCTTCCTTTGTCAGTGTCAGTGGGGAAGTTTCACGGAACGCCCGCTTGCCCTGTGTAGGACCAGGACGGAGCCAACAGATCCTGGCCTGGGCATCAGCAGGGGAAGAGGTGGCCACGTGGTGGGGAGAGGGCAGCAGCAGGGACCGGGGAAGGTGCTCTCTGCGAGAAGGAGCCTGACTCAGATGTCCGCTCAGTTCCATCGAGGACCTGGTGACAGCAGCCCCGCCCCACCCCACCCCACTACCAGAGACTGGTTCTTCATGTGACAAGGGGAGTAGGTGTAGCAAACTCATGACCACCTTGGAATTGGTCACAATCGCTCTCCTCCTTTTCTCTTCACTTCTGTGCTGTGCAAGCTGCAGCTGGAGTCCGTGGGAGGTGGGCGGAGGGAGCCCTGGCCACCCTGATGTGCCCACCACCCCCGGAGCCAGGGCGTCTGCAGTGACATCTCAGAGGCTGAGCTGCCTGCCCCAGCCCCGCCAGCATGCGCTCTCATCTTGGTGAGTCAAAGGCAAGGCCCCCGAGTTATGGAAACAGACAGCTCTCTTCCCCAGTGGTCTTTTCTCCACAAGCTCAGCTGCTTCGTGCAAGGACATGGTCACCCTCCCCTAAGGAGCACCTTCCTCCCCAGGCAGCTGGCAGCCCTGTCCCCTCCGGCCACCTCCACTTGGCCTCCAAGTCACCCCTCATTCCTTAGGGACAGGGAAGGCCACAGGCAGGGCAGACATTGCCTTAGTCATTGGGACACGCATATCTCATGGCACAGTGCCTGGTTTGAGTCCAGCTCTACTCCTGATTCTGCTTCCTGCTTAATGCGGCCCTAGAGGCAGCAGTGATGGCTCAAGTAATTGGGCTCCTGCCCCCAACATGGGAGCCTCGGATTGAGTTCTCAGCTCCCAGCTTTGGCCTCGGCTCAGCCCTGGGCACTTGATGGGTAAACCAGCATATAGGAGTTATTTCTCTCTCTGTTTTTCTGACTCTCAGATACATAAATAAAATGTTTCAAATGCCGCAGGCAAGGACCACTGACAGGGGACATCCAGGAGACTCTGCCATTCTGAGCTGTGTCCCCGACAGATCCCTTGCACTGGCCCCAAAAGTGGCAGAGCCCAGCCCCTGCTCCAGGGCTGCACAAGGCTCCACGTCCAGCCATGGATCATGTGGATCACCCATGACTGGTGGGATCCTAGGCTGTGCATGGTGAGGGGTGGGAAGTGCTGTGGTTTGTATATGGCCTGTCCCCTCCCTCTGAAACATGTCATTGAGTCTGTCACAGTAGCAGTGTGGGAAGGAGGGAAACTCTCCAAGGCACCTGGGTGGTTAGGTTAAGGACTACCGCTGTTCTCGTGGGTGTAGGCTTGTTCTTGGACGAGCCCTGCTCTCCCTTCCACCACCTGCTCTCCTTTCTACTTTCTGCCAGGAGCTGAAGTGGCACAAGGCTCTTGCCCATGCCACGTTCCCAGCCTCCAGAACCAGAGCCTCTTTTGTTGATAAGTCACCCTGGCTCAGGGACTCGGGTACAGCAGTAGAATCAGGACTAAGATGGGGCAGGGGCGGGGCAGGGCGGGGAGGGTGGGCCTGGCTGCAGCTTCTACAAGCTCTAGAAAGTTTTCTTCTGTTTTCAGAGCTTCTCAGCGGACCTTTCTTGAATGTCCTTGGTTTGCATGAAGGCTCCAATTTCAGGGTGGAGAGAGCCAAGGAAAGCAAGCGGACACCACGCCAAGTCAGCCCACGCCAGGGGAGCCCAGTGGGGGCTGCCTTGCAGGCGGTTGGTTTATGCTGAGGCTCTTGCCTCTCATGTCCACTCAACCTCCCATGTGTGCTGGACCATCCTCACTAATGAGCTCTCCTGTCACCCTCATGATGTCCAAAGACAAGGCTCAACATTTCCTGCACTCCCACCCCACACATCACTTCCACCAGGCTCTGGGTACTACTGTGAACCTTGTTTTACAGAGACGGTCACTTGCCTGGTGGAACCAGCATGAAATCCAGGCCATTGGACTCCATGCTGTCATTAGGATGAGACAGGATGAGAGTCCCAGGCGCTGTAGCCCCTCAGAACCTGGGAGACAGGGGACACACAGGCCACGTGCTTTCTCGGGCCTGAGCTAGCACTGGATCTGAGTCTCCTTCCTCCACCACAGCTGCCCCCACAGCAAGGTCGCAGCACCTGCACGGAGCCTGGGAAGGGTGGAGGCTCGCTGCAAGGGGGCAGAGGGGGCTTTCTAATCCCGTCTTGTCTTTCTGGAGAGGGAGGGGTCATGAGGAAGAAAAGCTCTAAAAACCTCAGCAATAAACCCAGTTGTGCATTAATCACTCTGGAAGCCGTTACAGCTTGAAACCCCCATAACTTTAATGGAGGCTATTATAAGCATAGTCGCGCCAATTACCAGGCAGTTATTAAGCAGAACACAGAGAGCCCCCAGCCTTGGAGAAAACCACCTGGCCAGCAGGGGGCAGGCTCCTGGGAAATGGTGCCTGGGTGTGGAGATCCTGGCCCACTGACTGAGATGCAGCTGACAGGTGACCTGTGTTGGGTGCCTGCAGCTTCTGCTGAGAGCTGGGAAGAAGAGCAGAGGCAAAAGGCTACCCCACCAGTGAGCCCGGACCGCTGCAGTCCCTTGGCAGGAACAGGCAGAGGAATCAACACTGAGGTGGAGAAAGGCCCGGCCGCATCCAGGAGAGGGGCACGGAGGATGAGGTGTTTGAGGGATGGGCATGGCAAGGAGTGGTCTCACGTGAGACAGGACGTGGTGTGTTGGTGTGTGCATGTGTGCAAGGGGATGCCGTGGGTTACAACTCCCCACCCCAAGATGCACACTTGTGTGTGTCTGTGGCCAACCGACCAGTCGCCAGTGGGGAGTGCGGTCAGCAGGTGAAGGCATGGGAAGGTCTCCCCCACTGGGCATTCTTAGAGCCTCCAGTAGATGGAGATGTGTTGTAGGCTGAGTGGGGGTGGCCACTGGAGGAGGAGTAGAGGCAATGAGGGCGACTGCAGCCAACTGCTTGCCCCTTCAGCCTCTGCCCTCACCCTTAAAGCATGCAGGCTGCTGGGAGAGTTTGAGTGAATTTTCACAGCTGCCATTTTAGCAGCTGGAGACTAGCACAGCAAGGGCTCCATGGGGATGAAGAAATGTCCTACGTGAGGAGCGTGGGGTCCAGGTGGGCATCAGGCCAGAGGCAAGGCCAAGAGGGTGATGTAACATCAGCTTCCATGGAACTGGTTCACCATGACAGGGCCAGTGAGCCCCTGGAGGATGGCCACTTCTGAGAAGACTCAGCCACAGGAATTGGTCTGCAGGTCTTAGGGTGTCTGGGACTCAGGCGGATGGCTCTGATTGTCCAAGGCTGAGGCACAGCTGATCTGCCCAGGAGTGGCTGGGCCCAAGGAAGCCAGGACAACGTGTGAATTAATTCAGAACTGGCCAGCTGGGGCCAGCGCTGAGGCTTAGCAGGTAATATGCCTCCTGCAGTGCCAGCATCCCATATGGGCACTGGTTCAAGTCCCAGCTGCTCCACTTCTGATTCAGCTCTCTGCTATGGCCTGGGAGAGCAGTGGAGGATGGCCCAAGTGCTTGGGCCCCTGTACCCGTGTGGGAGACCCAGAGGAAGCTCCTGGCCCCTGGCTTTAGATTGGCCCAGCTCCAGCCGCTGCTGCCAGTTGGGGAGTGAACCAGCCGATCAAAGATCTCTTTCCCTCTCTCTGCCTCTATGTAACTCTGCTTTTCATATAAATAAATAAATCTTAAAAAAAAAAAAGACTTGCCAGTTTTTACAGAAAGGCCTTCTGAGCCTGCAGGTGTTTGGATGAAGGTCTCATCAATGCCCCTAGTCTCTGAAAAGAGAGGCTTATTTAATCCTTTCAGGGAGTATGAGCACGGAGCTGGGTTAGGCCTGTGGGCAACACAGCAACATGGGGGAGGAAGCAGGACTTCCCTCCAGCCTCCTGCAGTCCCCAGAGACGCTGAGGACACACAGCTCACTCCCAGGCAGGTAGCGTGTACAGGGGTTGTGCATGTATCCATGCATGTGCACACACCTGCCTGTGCGTGTGCACCTGTGACAGACCTGCTCAGAACCCACCCATCCTGTTCCCGTCTGGAAGCTGACAAAAGCCTTTTGACCCAGTAAGACTGGCAAGGTGTTAGGTGGTTAATCAGAAAGGCCCGTTGGAGCAAGAACTCTTTCGTGATAACACACACAGCATGCACATCTCAATTTAAGTAACGTTTGCAAAGCTAATGGCTGATGCTTCTCACTACAGAGAAACACGTGACCATTTTTCCAGCATCCACACTCCCCACTGCTGCCTAGCGGGAGAGTCAGCTGACAAGAGGCGTGCATTGACTTTCTGCCATCGAGCTCGCTTTGCTCCCTCTTTACTCGGCTTCTTCGAGAACCAAGGGCACTTGAGCAAGCCGAGAGCAGTCCCCTCCAGAACACGGATGATGTTCCCCATCAAAACCCACCAGTTCAGAGAACTT